ATACCTGTCTAAAATAAAGTGCCTAGATTTTGACTTAAAAACATTTAACGAAACTGCTTGTTTAATATCTGAAGAAAGAGAGTTCCAGATTTGGGGTCCTTGAAATAATATTGAGTTTTTAAAAGATGAGAGCCTCGGTTTGGGTAAATGAAAATCATTAGCATTTCTTGTATTGTATCCATGATATTCATTATTGAACTGAAAGAATGTTTTAATATAGTCTGGCAAGAGGTGATTGTTACATAAGTACATAAATATAAGCACCTGAAATACATATATATCATGAAATTTCAAAACACCTGATTCAATAAATAAAGGGTTGGTATGGGCAAGGTAAGGTGCATGAGACATATTTCGTATTGCACGTTTTTGTAAAATAAACAATCTATCAATGAGATTATTACTTGCATTACCCCAGACAAGAATACCATAATTAAGATACGGATATACAATTGCATAATAAATCATTTTTAAAATCTCCTTTGGAAATGATCTTAAACAATACATTATTCCTATATTTTTTGCCAGCTTATTGCACAGACTATCAATGTGATTTTTCCATGTAAGTTTATGATCTATTGTAATGCCTAAAAATTTTACTGACGTTACACACTTAATATCTGTATTGCACACTCTAATTGAAAGATAATCTGGTATCAATAAGTTACTAAAAATAATATAACTGGTTTTTGCTACATTGATTATCATTTTATTTGCGTAAAACCACTCAGATATTAATTCAAGTTCAGAACTGAATAGATTATGTAAGTCCTGACAGTTAGGATGGGATAAAAACAGACTGGTGTCGTCAGCAAACATAATACAATGTAATAATTTAGATACTTTACTAAGGCCATTTATAAATAAAAGAAACAACAGTGGTCCTAAGATAGAACCCTGTGGTACCCCACATGAGATAGTCCCTTGCTGTGATTTGCATTTAGAAATTTCAACATATTGTTTTCTATTTGATAAATAACTTTCAAATAATTTAAGTACAATACCTCTTATGCCATATAATTCAAGTTTGTGTAATAAAATAGCGTGATCTACTGTATCAAAAGCCTTCTTCAAATCTAAAAACATTGCAATCATATATTTCTTGTTATCAAGAGCATTAACAACAGTGTGAACAAAATCAATAAGAGCCGATGACGTCGAATGTCCAGGACGGAAACCATATTGGTTCAAAGATAATATATTGTACTTGCTTATAAAATCAAATAATCTATTGTACATACATTTTTCTAAAATTTTAGAGAAAATTGGCAAGACTGATATGGGTCTGTAATTTGCAACATTTTCACTTGAACCATTTTTATATACAGGAACCACACGAGCAATCTTTAATTCATCAGGAAATATACCTAAATCTAAGCATTGATTGAATATTGCACAGATGGGTTGACATAAAATATGTATAGATTTCTTTATAACCTTGATACTTATATCATCGTACCCAGGACTGCAATCTCTCTTTATATTAGACACAATATCAATGATCTCGGAACATGTGGTTGGTTTAAAATAACACGTACTAGAATTCCTATCCAAATAACGACAAGGATTCAAATTTAAATTATTGCCCTGATCAACAGGATATTTCAATTCAGATACAATATTAATAAAATATTCATTAAATACATTACAAATTTTGGAGGTATCATGTAACACCTGATCATTAGATATCAAAAAATTAATACTGCACTTTTTATTTACACGACCCATTGCACAATTAACTATGTTCCAAGTCTTTTTCATATTCCCTTTGGCTGTTGCAAAATTTTCCATGAAATAGTGTTTTTTAGCTTGTTTAATCATATTATTGACTTTATTCCGACATTTTCTGTACACTTCTTTTCGATACGGTGTTGGGTTTCTCAGATAAAGTCGATGTGAACGACATTTTTTCTTTGACAACTTACGAATATCAGGATTGATCCATGGTTTATTTTTTTTACTGTGTGCTATCACAATCATGATTGTTTCATTTTCCCTTTAAAGCAGGCGTGTAGCAAGGGTCGATAGGGGCAATTAGAAAACATAGGACGAAAAAGGAGCACACAAAGAAACCTTTTTGATAATTCTGACAAGTCGAGAATGGTACAACGAATCATATTCTTTCTCTAAAAATTTAATGAAATGTCAAAGCTTCCGCGCTTCACGCGAGAGGGGGTAAGCTGAATTCAAACAAGGATTAGGAGTCGAGGATGGTACAACGAATCCTCTTCTTTCTCTAATAATTTAATGAAACGTCAAAGCTTCCGCGCTTCGCGCGAGAGGGAGAAAACTGAATTCAAACAAGGATTAAGAGTCGAGAAAGGTACAACGAATCCTCTTCTTTCTCTAATAATTTAATGAAACGTCAAAGCTTCCGCGCTTCGCGCAAGAGGGGGTAAGCTGAATTCAAACAAGGATTAAGAGTCGAGAATAGTACAACGAATCATCTTTTTCTCTAATAATTTAATGAAAAGTCAAAGCTTCCGCGCTTCGCGCGGGAGGGGGGGAACTGAATTCAAACAAGGATTAGGAGTCGAGAATGGTACAACGAATCATCTTCTTTCTCCAATAATTTAATGAAAACGTCAAAGCTTCCGCGCTTCGCGCGAGGGGGGGGGGAAAGCTGAATTCAAACAAGGATTAAGAGTCGAGAATGGTACAACGAATCCTCTTCTTTCTCTAATAATTTAATGAAACGTCAAAGCTTCCGCGCTTCGCGCGAGAGGGAGAAAACTGAATTCAAACAAGGATTAAGAGTCGAGAAAGGTACAACGAATCCTCTTCTTTCTCTAATAATTTAATGAAACGTCAAAGCTTCCGCGCTTCGCGCAAGAGGGTGTAAGCTGAATTCAAACAAGGATTAAGAGTCGAGAATAGTACAACGAATCATCTTTTTCTCTAATAATTTAATGAAAAGTCAAAGCTTCCGCGCTTCGCGCGAGGGGGGGGGGGGAAGCTGAATTCAAACAAGGATTAAGAGTCGAGAATGGTACAACGAATCCTCTTCTTTCTCTAATAATTTAATGAAACGTCAAAGCTTCCGCGCTTCGCGCGAGAGGGAGAAAACTGAATTCAAACAAGGATTAAGAGTCGAGAAAGGTACAACGAATCCTTTTCTTTCTCTAATAATTTAATGAAATGTCAAAGCTTCCGCGCTTCGCGCAAGAGGGGGTAAGCTGAAGTCAAACAAGGACTAAGAGTCGAGAATAGTACAACGAATCCTCTTCTTTCTCTAATAATTTAATGAAAGGTCAAAGCTTTCGCGCTTCGCACGAGAGGGGGAAAGCTGAATTCAAACAAGGATTACGAGTCGAGGATGGTACAACGAATCCTTTTCTTTCTCTAATAATTTAATGAAACGTCAAAGCTTCCGCGATTCGCGCAAGAGGGGGTAAGCTGAATTCAAACAAGGATTAAGAGTCGAGAATAGTACAACGAATCCTCTTCTTTCTCTAGTAATTTAATGAAACGTCGAAGCTTCCGCGCTTCGCGCGAGAGGGGGAAAACTGAATTCAAACAAGGATTACGAGTCGAGGATGGTACAACGAATCCTTTTCTTTCTCTAATAATTTGATGAAACGTCAAAGCTTCCGCGCTTCGCGCGAGATGGGGGAAAACTTAATTCAAACAAGGATTAGGAGTCGAGAATGGTACAACGAATCCTCTTCTTTCTCTAATAATCTAATGAAAGCGTCAAAGCTTCCTCGCTTCGCGCAAGAGGGGGTAAGCTGAATTCAAACAAGGATTAAGAGTCGAGGATGGTACAACGAATCCTTTTCTTTCTCCAATAATTTAATGAAAACTTCAAAGCTTCCGCGCTTAGCGCGGGAGGGGGGAGGAACTGAATGAAGATAAGGATTATTTACGAGTCGAGAATAATAATTTCATGAAACATCAAAGCTTCTGCGCTTCGTGCGTAATGGGGGGGGGGGGGGGGACAGCGAGCTGCCGGAATATCAATTTATGATATCTTTTCTCGTTTATGTTGGTGATAAATAACACTTTCACAAAATACATATTATGCTCAAATTTGTGCTCGCTCGCTTCGCTAGCTGAATTGTAAAACCAGAGTTTACTTTTTTGGGCTGGAGGCTTCAGCCCCCCCCCCCCCCCTCCCGATGAAAATGTCAAAAATTGTACCGGTATGGTGCTTCTAATATGACCTTGTCAGTATTGGTATGTTGAGTTGAAAAAATGGTCTGCGCAATTTTCAAATTTTCGGCCCCCCCCCCCCCCCCCTATTGGAAAATCCTGGATCCGCGCCTGTAAAGTGATGACATTGTAAATAATAAACTCTTTGTGTTGTGTAGCACTCTCTCAAGACGGATATTACCTTTAGCTTTATAAACTGTGAATTTCTGATTTTTATGGCCAAATAAATACTACTAATAATAATAATAAACAAAATTATATCATAACTGCATATTTTGAAATTTTTATGGTCACGGCTACTATGGAATGGTGCTATTTTAAATATTTGAAATTTACCGGGAGCACCGGAAAATTTTTTATTATTCAATTTCTCGAAAGCATAAGTGTTTTAGGGGCTAAATTTTATAGTGCTTATAATTATACATCCACAGGGGCATCCAAATATATCAACATTTAAAAGAATTACTATCCGTCCAATTTTCAAAATTTCCCCTAACTAAGTTGCATTATTTTTAAAACCATTGGTGGACTTCCTTGTAATCAACCTTAACATGTCTATTCGGCCAAAGTTGTGCAAGGACTATAAACAGCTCGGTCTCGGGAAAGTGAGGGGGGGGGGGGGGGGAGATTTCCGTGTGACGTATTTGATTGGATGTGAGTCATGGATGACCGCATTTTGCTGATGGTTACAAAAATACTGATTTTCCCAAATTGTTTAAAGATTTATTCAATATTTGGATAAAATAATATTACTCAATTTTAAATAACCGGAAAATTTATTATTTATCTTAAAAATTGATGTGCGATTCTTTTGAAAAATCCAATTGAGAAAATTATTTCAAACATAGAACAATTGGAATAATGGCGGCCACCATGTAAGGCTGAAGTCTGCTACATAAGCAACAAGAAATGACAGAAATGTGATGAATTTTGTTCAGCTCTTACGGTAAGTCTTGAAATTCCGAAGTACGAACCTTCTATTATATTTTGTTGTGATTATGATATGATTTTGTGACGATTGTGATGAGTAAAATTGACGTTATAACCGAGTTTCGGTTCGTTAATGCCCGGTCTACGGCTCTGCCTCGAGCCATTCGCTTTCTGTGTGAACCAACGGGGAGCGGCGGGGGCGATGGGCATTGAACATGCATTAGCGGCAATAGCGCGCCATTTATTTGACCGCCGCTGTCACTGTAATTTACAGATACAATGCCACATACCAGTCGAAAACATCACTCACACATGGTAAATGAAAATGCCTGCTGAAACACAGTCGCAGTACTGTCGCACACAGATGCAACATGATACTTGCCTCAGCTCCGCAGAGCTGAGACGCCACGTTCAAAGATCAGCAATGCGTGACATTTCATTTTTTTTGGCGCGCGAGGGTATAACACACGTATAAGGTATAGCGTTTTTTCTAAATCTAGCGCGCGCTCTGTGTGGGAGAGCATTTCCAGACCCTCAAAATGCGTGATGTCACGCCTAAAGCTATGGTCACAAATCAGAGCAGCGACCGACCGATCAGTAGCCTGCTCGGTCGCTGCTGGAATTAGGCATCGCCCTGCGATTAGGTCGGTGCCCGGGCGGCGACCGGCCAGGCACCGAGCGTATTTTGGGCGGCGAGTGAAAAGTGAGCAGGCGCCGCCCAAATTTTAACTCCGCGCTAAAACTTCAGCGGCGACCAAGCGATGCCCTAAAAACGAGCGGTGCCTGGGCAGCCGCCGCTCGGTGCTCGGGCAGCCCCCGAGCAGAATTGGTTAAAAACTCGCCGCTCGGCCGCCGAGCAGGCTACTTTTGGGTATGTGACCATAGCATAATGCGTGACACTTGGTAGCTCTGCCTCCGCTCCAGATAGACTCTACTACACAACCAGAAACGATTCAAACAGCGAGTTCAGTCTTTTTTGGTTATATTTTTTCAAAATGTTGTAGTGATTCAGCCTGAGCCACTACGGCTCTGGCGGCATATGCGCGTAAGTCCCGCATTAGGCGACACCCGCGGTAGTTTCCGCGGGCGTGCTTATCACTGGGAACGTTAGATTGAACCTGAGACTGCACGCGACAAACACTGTTGATTGCCCGTCTCTTCTGTCTCTTCGGTCTACTACTACTAGCGACGGTGGAGCTCCACTCAACGAGCAACACTTCAAGCGCTTCTTGAGACAGACTTCAAGCAGTATAGTATACAGCCTATGGTAGGATTGACCCGTAGTATTGTAGATCTAATTAAGCATATTGCGTAGTTATTTAGGCCCAGTGAGATATATATTCCGCTCCGTCACTACAATGGCGTAATCGCTAATTTTTTATCCGAACCTGTTCGGGCTAGTTTTTTTTATCGCGCACGTTTTTGAGCCGCCATCTTTGTCGGTATTCACTCGTGTGTTGAAGGGATTTTCTATTTTTGTAATTTCATTCGTAGGGCCTTGTAAGCTTGTTTATTCCCTATTGGTAGTTGATTAGTGCTGTAGATTAGTATTTTAGGGACTCGTAGAGTATTTTCAGTGCTGTATTCCGATTTTTGGGTACTCATTTCGGTGTTTTGGGGATAATTTTTTGTGGTCGCACACATGTCCGAGCCGCCATCTTGGATACGTTGACTCGTGTGTTGAAGGGATTTTTTTATTTTTGGAACTTTTTTCGTAGGGCCTTATAAGCTCATATTTTTTCATTTCTTGTCTACTTAGGGTTGTAGGATAGTTTTTTAGGGACTCGTTGGTATTTTTACGGCCGTATTTCGATTTTGACATCGGTGTCGGTCAGTTTTTGTACTTAAATTTGCTCGTTTTTTTTCTACTCACTAGACTAGTTGTACAGCCGTTTTTTGTCGTGCTCGTAGTTTTGATCCTCTCGCCAGAGTTTTATACTGTGGAGATAATTCCACGGTGTTCTTTTTCGGTGAGGTATAGGGTCGGTTAAGTAGAACTTAGTAAGTAGGGGTAGGCTCTATTTAGACTAGTTTCAACCCTCTTGCCGAAGTATTATTACCGTGGAGATAATTCCACGGTGTTTTTTCGGTGAGGTATACTATGGGTATAGGGTTGTTTAAGTAGGAGTAGAATTAGTGAGTAGGAGTATAATTAAATTAGTTTCAACCCTCTCGCCGAAGTATTATTACCGTGGAGATAATTCTGCGGTGTTTTTTCGGTAAGGTATACTATGGGTATAGGGTTGTTTAAGTAGGAATTTTTTAGTAAGAAACTAAGTAAGATTATGAAAGAAACTAAGTAAGATTTTGGAAGGAAACTAAGTAAGTTCTTACTTTTTAAGTAGGCAATAGGTCTTTCCTGTAAGAAACTAAGTAAGAAACTAAGTAAGTAAGCAAGTATTTTCCTTTAAGAAACTAAGTAGTCTAAGCAAGAAGTATTTTCCTTGAAGGAACTACGTACGTTAGTAAGTAAGCAAGAAGGAAGGATTGGGTAGGTACCTAAGTGGGATTTTTGACTGTCGGTATTGTTTTGTATATCTGTGGATTTTGGGTTAAATCGTGGGTGGTATTTAATTTCATCTTCATTTCATCATTACTAATATTGTACGGCCATCTCGCCGAGCATTATACCGTGGAGATAGTTCCGCGGTGTTTTTCGGTGAGGTTTGTTGCCGGTTTAAGTGTAGTCCTTTAGTGTTACTTACGTTTTGGCCCGCTCGCTGAAGCTGTTCACCGTGGAGATAATTCCGCGGTGTTTTTTCGGTGAGGTTTAGGGTTTTAGTATTTACCTGTCAGGCACTTAGTAAGCTCTTAGGAAACTAAGTAGGGTATTATTAAGTAAGCAAGAAGGAAAGATTGTATGTGTATTTAATTTTATCATTTGGTTATATAATCGTTGCTGATTTGAAGCCGGTTATGACCTCGGAGAGGGTTAAAGTGAATTATGGGACTGAGGAGGCTTTACTGGCCGTTGTGGATAGAACTAAGTCCCACAAGATTTTTAGTTGGAGGGTGCAATGTGGGAGTTTAACTGAGGAGTTATTTTTGCAGTGTCCCCGTCTCCATGAAGCCAAGGAGCTGGTACATTTATTTGATTTTGAGCCTTATCGGGTGGATCAGGCTGAGCAGGCACAGGGGGTGGGGGAGGGGACTGGGCAAACCTTGACTGCACAAACCCAGTCTGTCCAGAGTCCGGGTCCCGTTCCTTATGGGCATACAGTGCACCCCCCACTTTCGGGTGAAGACCCAGCTGGGCCTATATCCGGGTCTGCGCCCTCCCCAGCCGGGCCCTCCGCCGACTATCGGCTTAGGGACGATAGCAGTGTACCCTCCAGGGAACCCCCACGTAGGGATTATCCCTCGTCTAGGGATTTCCCTCCTACTAATCATGGTCCATCTTCCAGGGAACCCCCACGTAGGGATTATTATTATCCCCCATCTAGAGAATCCCCTTCTAGTAATTGTGGTCCGCTTTCCAGGGAACCCCCACGTAGGGATTATGTTTATCCCCCTTCTGGGGAATCCCAACCTGACATTCAGTATCCTCCCAGGGAATCCTCACCAGGGGGTCAGGGAGAGTACCGGTCGCAGGGGCGCCGAGATTGGCCCCCCCGTCTGCCGAGGTCACTTAGTTACGATGGGAGGACTAGTTGGCATTCCTTTCGCAAGAAATTCACAAGTTATGCTACGTCGTGCCAGTGGAGTTCGAGCGAGTGTTTGGATGCACTAGGCTGGTGTTTGGTGGGGTCTGCCTCAGATTGTTTTTCGAACCTTAGGGATATGGGCACTAATTCTTATTACCATATGTTAACAGCGATGGGGCGTCGGTTTGGGGCTACCCGATTCCCGGAGGAGGCCATAGCCGAATTTCGAACGGCTCGCCAACTCCCGGAGGAGTCTCTCCTTGGGTGGTCCGATCGGCTCCAAGCTTTGTCCTTTGAAGCTTTTGGGTGGGACCAACGGGGTGACGGCACTCAAATGGTATTGCAGTTATGCCAGGGTTGTACGGATAAGGCGGCGGGTTTAACAGCTCTCAATACGCGCCCGAAGTCCGTCGAGGAGGCCCTGGAAGCCATCAGGTGGGCGCAACATACCCAACGTGTTGTTTATGGGAGCGAGGCTCGCCGTACGTATTCGGCTTCTCGGCAGCAGGTGCAGCAGACTTGCATGTACGATCAGGAGGTGGACAGGTATGATACGGTAATTTATCATCATAGGCAACCCCATCCCCTAAATCGTTCCCCAACAGTTTCCAAAGGTCAAGATGTTCCCCGTCCGGCTCCTGTGGAGGACCGGGGGAAGGTCACAACGCCTTTTGAAGTTCAGGCCAGGAATGACATTGGCTATTTAAAAGAGGAAGTCGCCAGTCTTAAGACGCATGCGTACAATACCGATTGTATGCTAGACGAAATACTGAAGACTGTTAAGTCTTTGGAGTTTTCTATGCTTTCCAATGCCCGCCCTCTATCTCCCGTGGCCACTGGTGTTCCGGAAAACCTGGAGGGATCGGAGAGCGAGGCCGATCTCCGATCTGGAAACCGAGAGGCCTACAATCGGTAAATACTGGGGTAGTTAATGTAGTTAGTGACCCGCCTGACTCTTCGGTCGGTCCCTTGGACAAGGTAGTTAATGTTAGTGACCCACCTGACTCTTCGGTCGGTCCCTTGGACAAGGTAGTTAATGTTAGTGACCCGCCTGACTCTTCGGTCGGTCCCTTTGTCAAGGTAAATAATGTTAGTGACCCGCCTGACTCTTCGGTCGGTCCCTTTGTCCAGGTAGTCGCTAGGACGGCCGTGGTGCCTCCTTCTAGTGGGAAGCGGGTAGGATGTAAAGTTGTTGGGAGTCCAGGGCTCCAGAGTAAGGACCTTTCCCTTTTCCAGCCCACCCACAGGCTCCCATTTTGGATTCCTCGGATCGTGTTTGATCGGGGGAAATAACATGTTAAGTATATATATTATGGTTCATTATCAAAGCCATTCACAACGGCTCGTCCGCGAGGACATGGTGCCGGTTCCTGTTCCTGGGAAATAACATGTTTGTCTTAAATATATATATTTTAGTTCACTTTTGGATTCCTCGGATCGTGTTTGATCAGGGGAAATAACATGTTTGTCTTAAATATATATATTTGAGTTCACTTTTGTTTACACTGTTTAATTTCATTGTAAATCGTCCATTCTGAGTTCCTGAACTTTAAGTGTTGATGTTTTTAAACTGAATAGATAACAATTAAATAAAACTGAAAAGTTTCTGCTTCGGTTAGCGGAGTTATCTATGCTGAATTAGCTGCTCCGCTTTAAGAACTGACTAGGAAGCATTCTTTCCACAGGGAGACAGAGCACCCATGTGTGTTCGAGGCCATAAAACGGCCGGCTTTTGATATCTCCCAAGTGACACTACGTGGTTTCAATAATAAGTCAGAATATGATCATGTTTTGGGGGAGTAATTCCTCTGGAGTAATTCCTCTAATTCAACAAGAGCCTTTTGGATTTGCTTGATGGTGTTGTGGGCCTGGGTGCCCTGAATGATATCAGGAACTTGCCGGTAGTGGCTATTGTGCCCCCGGGTGCCGAGTGGCCCAGAAAATGTAATCTTATTTTGTTGAAGTGTTTTCACCTTCTATATCATTTTCCATCTGATTTCAGTGATCTGCTTTTATCATTCTAATACTTCCTATATGCACCGTTTGGACTGCCTGTAGGGAGCCGTTTGGCTCTCATGTGGGATTGCCCAGTTTCTGGACACTGTACCATCCAAACTGCACTTGGGGAATGGGGAGCCATGGGGCTCTTCCCCTTTTCTGCACACTTATTGCCATTCATCGTTAATGTTGATCACTCACACTTTCATGCTCGGTCACCTTGGGAATTTAATGTAATGCCCCGGTTAATCCCTTATGCCTGTGCCAGGACGTTTTGCAATTTGTCATTATGTAATATGTATAACCGGCACGGTAAGGGTTAACTGGTATATTTCTGTTTCTTTATGCCTGTAATGCCCCGGTTAATCCCTTACGCCCGTGCCAGGACTGCTATTCTTTGTCATTTACACGTGACACCGGCACGGTAAGGGTTAACTGGTATATTTCTGTTTCTTTCTGTTCTTGATCCCTGGGACATTTCCGGGACTTGAATCCTATTTAGTACTTAAATATACCAAATTGTGGAATACAGTGCATTTTACATTTTACAGTGCATTTTACCTGTACTTTAAATAATATTTCCCGTACCAAAGTTTGGAATACAGTACGTTGTAAGGTAGGATAAAGGCGCCCGCCCCCTGGAAAGACCAAGACTTCACTGGTGCTGGCAAGGAGGGTCCTTGACCCATCCACCAGCGGGAACGGCGTGACCCCGCACTGCGGTACGGGAGTAGTTTTAAGTTAGTTTTAGTTAGAAGTAGGCTTCAAACTCATTAAGTGGGGAATAATGTAGTGATTCAGCCTGAGCCACTACGGCTCTGGCGGCATATGCGCGTAAGTCCCGCATTAGGCGACACCCGCGGTAGTTTCCGCGGGCGTGCTTATCACTGGGAACGTTAGATTGAACCTGAGACTGCACGCGACAAACACTGTTGATTGCCCGTCTCTTCTGTCTCTTCGGTCTACTACTACTAGCGACGGTGGAGCTCCACTCAACGAGCAACACTTCAAGCGCTTCTTGAGACAGACTTCAAGCAGTATAGTATACAGCCTATGGTAGGATTGACCCGTAGTATTGTAGATCTAATTAAGCATATTGCGTAGTTATTTAGGCCCAGTGAGATATATATTCCGCTCCGTCACTACAATGTAAAGAAGAAGTAGATCTAGACCTAGATCTAATTGAAATTTAGACTTACAATGTCTTATGACATTGTATGACGCTTGTGCGCCGAGTCATGAAAATGTCATGCATACCTGATCTTTGAAGTTGGTGTCTCTGCATGTTGTAGTCTATATATATCGTTGATTCAACATGGCAAAGAGAAAGTACCCATGCACGGTAGCGGCGCAGCAAATATGAATATTCATGCTATAGAGCGCTTTTTGCTTGATATTGCTGAATATGCAAGACTGGAAGAAAAAGAGCGACAACCTACCTACCAATCCTAGTGCATGATAAGCAATCATGCCATGTCTGAGGTTCAAATCATGCTTTACAACATGATGCAGGTATTGTGGTTATCTGGCATCTGCCCACACTTTTATAGTGAGAAAAGTTGTCATTAAAAGGTTGAAGATAGAAACATGTACCTGCATTGGGGAAACACAAATGGAACTAGTTTACCATGGTACACTATAACAGAGTTTTTCTTACAAAAAAAAAAAATTTGTACAAAGAGACCTCTTATTTCTACTGAAATGCTTGCGCGGTTGCGCAATTCTTGAAACATAATCTATGTTTATGAGGAGTAGATCAGTGCATTATGAATGTCACAAATGTACCTTGATTGTAGCTATGTACAATTGAATTATTAGTGTTACATGTAGTATTGTCGTTCGAAGACTTGATAAATAAACATCGTCTCTTTTTAAATTATATATTTTCTGCTATCTTGGCAGATTTGTCCAGATTCAATTGTGAATACATGTAGCACGATGGAAGTTGTTACCTGTGTGACCATTCGCTTTGAGTGTCGAGCAGTTCGTTATGTATTTGCTCTTTTCTCTCTTATTTATTATGTGACAATCTGTCACAGTGTGATGTCATATTATTACTACATCACACAGTGTTTGTCATATTATTACCACATCACACAGTGTTTGTCATGTCATGACCAAAACTGCATCAACAGTTCCAGATGGCATTTCATGTATTCCTATAGTGTATCTTCCCTCTGGCATCCTAGACTTCTCTTGTAGTGCTTTCTCGTCTGCTGCATAGTTCCATCTTTCTTTTACGTAGTTCCTTTGTACTTTACAGTTGTGCATTGTTGCACCTCGATGTCTCCTGCCTCATGTCAGGTATCATTTGGCATGTAGTACAGCTATAACAGCTATATAATGCCAAGCTTATGAGGTACATGTAGTCTACTTGCAGTCATGCATCTGGCCATTTGCCTACTTCCTTGTTGCTCTTTAACCTTTAAACTTTAACCATTGTGAAGCGCTCTCAAGAGAAACTTGATGGCTCATGTGCTTGTAAACACACTCACTTACTGCTGAACTGATAGTCTTTTCATTACATACAATTACTATAGTATCTACTTCATTGTCTTGTTTACAAAGATCTTCTTTCAAGACATCATTTTCATTTCTTTCTTTTTTCTTCATCCACATTGAATTTTGACAGTTAGAAATTGGGGTCCAAAAAGTTTTTCAACAAGCTTTCAGGCTTCAGCACCAAGGCGGAGGAACGTCACTTAGTTCTGAGTTCACTGTAGTATTAACCTGATGCCATTGAATATGTACATCTTAATAAGTTCTATTTTTGTCAATACGATGCACTTTCACATTTCTTTTTTAATCTGCAGGAAGGCGAATGACCTCAAGGTACAACTGACAGGTAAGTCTTACATGGATCTCAAAGGCATTGATAATCAGTTGTATATGTGTAGAAGATGCGGCCAAACATAATTATGCTTATGTAATGCTAAATCTCAATATAAGATCCCCAATTTTGAGTTCTGGGAATGGGGCAAAATATTTTGTGAGCCCTTTCTATAGTAATTGTCAAGTGTGCTATTTAAAAACATAACAGATCACATTGAAAATTCAGTAAATTTTATGACTGTTTAAAGCTGGTAGCCCTTCGAGATCTTGAACAATGTCAAATTTGATACATATTTGTATGTTTATAGATGCATGTTCACAATTCCATAGCATAATTCAATAGTAATTGTCCTTGGTAAAATATGGGACAAGCCTTGCACTTAACCTGATACTACTGTATAAATTAAATCTGCATGCACACAGACTCTCATTTGACTCTTAAACACAATTCTGTAAAGTCTTGATTAGAGCATAACTGTTACCAGTCTCTAGTTGTGTCACATAAGCCATGTCAGGAACAGCTATCGTACAGGGGGCTGCTGTTATGCATTATCATGACTGACAAGGGTCTTTTTGCGTACAGACTACTTTCAACTATCAACTTATCACAATGATCCAAAATATGAAAGTCTTTGATGAAGTTTGTAATGTTTGCCTAGGGGTAGGCTTTCATATAAGGAATCTCTCTTTTCTGTCTATCCCAAATGCTCTCATAATTTGCCATTGTTATTTGTGATCACTATTTTGTTTTTTATCTTTCCATTCTGTATTGTATGTTTTAAATGTTTTTATGAAGAGTGTTGAATAAACTTTGACTTGAATTGAATTGTTCGAACCTGTCCCTTTACAGCGGAAGGTGGAAGTGATGCGTGGGTGTCTCGGCAGGCCTTGCAAGATGCCTTCCATCAGCTGCTCCTCCTGGATCTGGAGACAGCGCTGGATAAGAAGCTAGAGCAGGAGCTCTGGAACCATGTCTTCAAGAACCACATCTCATCGCTGCAGCACAAGGCCCGTGATCGTATGGTAAGTCAATTATAATAATATTAATAGTGGGTTCTTGTATAACGCTCATGTCTGTCAGACTTGACACTCCTGGTGCTCCCGATTATTACCTTGGCTTTAGCACGGCTACCATTACGGCGCTCTAGCATTTCAAGGAATTAATTCCTGCCAGGTACCCATTTACATCACCAGGGTTGAGTGTGGCAAATGTAGATCAAAGTCTAAATGCTCAGAACTGTCGTTTTATTCCTTTTTTTTGCCACTGGCCTGATGAAGACTTTTCCTAAATGAACTTTCAAGATTAACATACAGGGTTATTATTCTTGACTCATTATTAAATTTGGCTTCAAGTATTATTTTGTTAATTTTTTAGGAAGAAATGATTAGCTACATGTATTTAAGGCAAAACTTTTTATACAACATCTACAGTACCTTCTCAGACAGGAAGAAATTAGCCATGTTTTAAGTTATTACTTGTATAGCATGGAAAGGGGTCTTGAAAGGAGCCTTCAATGAAAATGGAATGTAAATTAAATACCGGTACTGATATTTCTGAGTGAAAGCCTTTTGTACTTGGCAGTTGGCATATATGTAAGTTATCAAGTGTTAAACTTGTATCCTTTTACATTGTGTTTAATAGATGCCTTTATCTTGTTTTACACTTTTACTCCAACATTTACGTTTGATAATGAAGCCCAGGGCCCCATCTTATAAAGAGTTGATATCAATCGCAACTATATACATATTAGAGATAGGGGTCTGCAAGGTTGCAATTGATTAGAGGCCTTGGGATGAATTAGGATTAATCGCAACTCTTTATGACGAGGCCCAGGTATGATCACATTGATTGCAAATCCATGCCTTATAAAATCATCTTTCCCATGTCCCATCTTGATTGATTTTCATTCGATTGTAGAACCCCAAGAGATCAGAAGTTCAAGCCATGCTTTCCCTTCTCCTTGACAATGCCAGTGGTTTCTACATCCAGGTGAGTCGATAATACCCAGACGTTAAGTCCTCTTTGTGTGATCGTTATGGAATCCATGAAAAAAGTACACATGACTTGTGACAAAGTTAAGGGGTGATATTCTGAAAAATTGTTTATTAAGTTCTGTTGAGAGCTATATATTTATTAATAGTCAAAATATCTGCGTTGGTACAAATTTGTAGTTATTTTTTTCCTCTTGGAGTTGCCAAGTTCATGCAGTATCTAAAATTATGCTCACATGCTCATCCTGAAGTGTTATCGTGTTTATTTGATGTATTAGATAAAACATGATTTATGAAGTAGAACTACTCTTCTAGCTTCTAAACAGTCATTGAATCATAAAATAGAATCCTCTTTTGTAGTGTTAAAATGTTTGTGGAAGTATGTAAGGTTAGAAAAGAATCTGCTTTATTGCTAGCTCACAATGTAAGTAATATACTGATACATACTTGGGTTTTGTAAACTTTCTAACAATTTTCACTTTCATCTACTTTTCACTGATTTTCATTTACGGAAGCTCCTGCAAGAGATCTGCAGTGCATTCAGCGTGCAGCTGATGTGTCGCATCAAAGCACAACGCCTGGGGCTGTTCCAAGAAACACTGCCCTCATCTCAGAAGCCTGTCCAACCCAAGGCTGTATCATGCCACTACATCTGTCAGCACTGTCTCGTTCATCTAGGAGATATTGGTAAGGACTGTCATCTACAGACCTCTAGAGGACTTGTAGAGAGGCTTCACACTGTTGTGTAAATGTACATGTCACACATACAATGGCCTGAATTAACAAAGGAGGTTTAAATCTTTAAAATGAGCGCAAAATAAGCGCGACACAGTCAGAGGTCCAGTATTAGAGGTGCACAAGGCAAGGTACGCTTATTTTGCGCCAATTTTTAAACCATGGGTTATGTAAATGAGGGGTTAAACCATGGGTTAAGTTAAACCTCCTCTGTGAATTCAGGCTAGTGAGTTTATCAAACATGAACATAATTTTCCCTCTGTAAGTGAAATAATGATGTTAGCTCATCATGCTTCTACCATGAATATTTCAACAAAAGGGAGGAAATGGAATTTGTTAACATTAAGCTTAGCAATTTTCACTACATTTTGTCATTTTAAGTAGGATGTGGTTGAAGTGAAGCAGGTTACATGTATATCTCATCTGTTCTCAGATTAAGTCTACCTACTGTTCATTGTTATTAGTTCATGATGTGCTATATCCTTTATTCTGGATAGCAATATGATGACCTTTTCAGAACTCATGATAAGATGTCTTATTCATTTCTTTCTCCTCAATTACAGGATTAAGGACTATGCTTTTCTTTCACTTTGAAAGTGTTCATTTTCCTAAAGTGTTTACCAAGTAAGAAATGTTGTTATTGATCTATGTATGTTCAAACAATACTTTGTATTTGATCTTACTATACCCCTTAGCTCGTTACCGTAACGACACCCACCAGGCAGAGAGCTTCTATTGCCATGCAGCCAGCCTGGTGCCATCCAATGGTCAGCCCTACAACCAGCTGGCCATCGTCTCGGCCACTAAAGGTGACCAACTGTCCATGGCCTTCTACTACATCCGGAGCATAGCGGTCAAGCATCCCTTCCCAGCGGCTGCCACCAATCTTCAGACCACCTATGCCAAGCTGGTTGACCGGTCAGTATCTTTTCCTTGTTATGGTCACTGTCATGCCCATCAATGTGGACCATGCTGGTATCATAGTCGAAACATATACAAACTCACAGGAAATGGTAGGGTTAAGAGAGCATTTAGAAAGGGTAGACATGGTTAGAAAATGCCTGATATTTAGTTTGATTCTACACACTAACTACAAGTATAGGAGTGTAGAAGAGAAACTAATCATAAAATGACAAGTACAATGAACAGTGTTTCAACACAACGTGTTCTTTCTGAGTTCTCAAGTTGTAATGTCAGTCTTCGAGTGACATGGTTGCTGCTTCAGGTAGAGTATTGACAAAAACGTTTGTTTCAGACTGACCTATGTGCCATATCCCTCATTTGGAACATGTTATGGGCAAATATGTTTAAGCATGCTATGAGTATAAGCAATTAGATCCTATGCTGCTCACAGTTAGTGTACTGGTACTCTACTGTATTTTGTTTCTAAAAATTCAAACTTCCTTTGTCTTCAATTTCAATTTTCAATTTATTCATGTTTCCAACAAAACATTACAAATCAATTGTAAGCATTTGAAACAAATGTAGAAATACATATTGGAAACAGAGGGGTACACTAAAAAGCAATGCTTGTACAAGTGTGAACACCTCAAATGATACTTAGGAATAATGAGTAATTAAATTAACAAGTCTGTGAATACAAAAGAAACTACAAAATGGGGGGGGGGGGGAAGGGAGATGCCAACAGAGACGAGAAAGGGACAAGACCATGCTTTACACGACAAATATAGAAGAATACGGTCATAATACAAAGAGTAGACAATGACAAAAAGAAGTGAGAGATCGGGGTTACAGAAAATAACCTCTGACCTTTGCCCTCTGACCTCCATGTTTCAGGGATGAGGTGAAGATCTTCAAGATGCGTGAGGTGGAGCTCATTCACTACTTCATCAAGTTCCATGCCATCATCTACCTGGCTTCCTGTGAACAAGGTAAGTCTAAGAAAGAAATATTAAACGCTGTATATGAAACACTGGGAAGGAATGAAAAGAAGGAAAGATAAGCCAGAATAACAAATAGAGGGAAGAGATAAAAGATACAAGATTTTTTATTTGGTCTTTGCAAACAAGTTACATAGAAATTTGGTTTCCACTCGCGTTACAGTAATATTCAAGAAAATACATAATTACAAGAAATAAATACATCACGTTTATAGAAATAGATGGAATAAAGAACAAATACATGCAACAGATAATGAAGCGACAGAAATGGTAATTGGTACTTCAAATCATAATAGTTTCAGTATTAATTAATTTCTGACGCAGAAGTTTAACGTTTAACCTGTGAGTTGAATTTATGAAAAGAGTCGGGTACAAATGAATATCTGAATCGTGAAAGGCGGGTTGGGATGGGGCGAAGTTGGAAACCAGAACGATTAAATGAATAAAATAAAAGAGAGAGAGAGAGAGGGAGAAAGAGATAATGAAAGACGGGCTGGTTGCTTACTAACTTGCAGTTTATGCTTTCTTAGCAGTTGGGTAAAATAACCACCACTACTATAGAATTTGAGGACTGAGAAAAATAGGTGGAGAGAGACAAAGAGAGAGGGAGAGAGAGAGACAGGCAGACAGATACAGAAAGAGACAAAAAGAGATGTAGAGGAGGATAGAGTACAGTAATTATATGTACGGATAATACAAAAATGCCTTGTTAACCATTAAGACCACCTTTAACACAACAAAAATAAAATAATGATGAACAATGTTTTATATGGAAATTTGTATAGATAGGAATCTGTATAACAAGACCATTTATCAGTACAGACCACTGATCCTTGTTTGCCCCGAGTGGTCTGGTATACTTGATACATATTTGAATCTACCTTGATTTGTACACTTTCCAGACCTTCAAGTAGCCAGCTCCATTAAGGACAAGTTAGAGGAGAACTTCCGCAGCCACTTGTCACAGGAGATCCTGACCAGTCGCCAGCTGACGCAGATGGCAGCCATCAATCTCTTTGCCCTGCACAGTATCCGCCAGCACACCAACAACGGCGAGCGTGGAACCAAAATGGCTACCACAGATCTGGGCGGAATGGTTGGGGTTCAAGACCTGGGACCGTATGCTGCGAACAACCTGCAGTGCTGGACTCTGGTGATGGGATTCACATGTGAGTAGCCTGTGAAGAAGAAAGAAATATATATGTCACTAATAGCACATTCAGTAGGTTGGGGTATGATTGATACCATCGTTCACAAGTTGCTGTGATAAGGTTTAAACTTGAACAGATACTTTCTGTGAATATGATTATAACATGCATAAGTGTTAGTATCTATTTGAAACAGTTACTTGTTGAAGGGCTCCAAAGAATTTGAGCACTGATTTCCTGAAATTTGATTTGGGACTAGTGTTTTTTAATGAAAAATGCAATTTTTAAAATGTAGTTATAATGATGGTGATTCACAGCATTAATGTGGAGCATTAATAATGTTTATTGGTGAAAAATTTTAAATGCCCAGGCTCTTCCAATGAACTTTGTATTTGATTGCAGTCTGTCTGTTTTGATTCATGTGTTTTGAGGCATGATTTCAAGTGTAAGAGACATGAACATACATGGTAATATTTATTTTAGCACTACTTCTGATTCTTGTTTTGATACCAAACATGATGTAGGAAATCATGTGGCCTTTCTAAGATGCCCATATTAAAATGTACATGTACATGTGAATGACATTGACAGAATCTTTCTCTCTCTCTATGTTTTTCTCTTAGTCAATCTACTCCAGATGATGCTGCACTATGCACCTCAGAAGGGAGGGGAATCCCCGGTGGATGCTTGGCCAGGTCTACCGGCCGTGCGTCTTGTCCTGGGCTGGATCTACCTGCAGCCAGCCATCTTTGATGATCCTGTACTCTCCAACAAGACTGGGTGAGAACCATTCTCAAGGCTTCTTCCGCCCCATAACTTGGAACAAGCTTTTGAAGAACTAGTTCTAAATTTTCTCATCACTAGTGCAGAGCTGCCAACCATTACGTTTTTCCCGGAATTATTCCATTTTTTAATCCAAATTACGTTAGTACGTTTTTTCTTTATAAAATACATTTTTTTTTTTTTTTTACATTCCGGTACCGCATGTCAAATAAATGCCTTAAAATGTTGATTTGATCAAAAATTCAAAAGAAAACTAAGGTTAAAACATACTTGAAGAGAAAGATATTCTCTAAAAGAATGAAATGTTGATAATACCAAAATAACAACAACAAAAATACCTACATGTTAATAAACTATAGGTTCTATTATGGAAAAAAACAGCCTGAGGAATGGACATTTCTGCATTTCTGCATTGGAAGTGTGTCGCGCATGGTTGTAAGTTTCATTTTAATGAATTCCTTTTTTTTGCTTTTTTTGGTCGCACAAGGTTGGCAGCTCTGCTAGCGTGTAATCCAAAGAGAAGTTTTTTGTAAGCCTTCAAGAGTCAGGAAAGGCCCTTTCCTCTTGAAGAGGGGCATTTAAGGACAAGTTACGGTACTGTCCTTGATTTGTTGCCTGTTGGATCTTATCTCCTGCTAAAAGGGTTGCAGTATCCTATTTCGATTTGACTATTAATTTTCATACAAATATTAGTTTGGAACTCATTTAATGTCAATTCTCAATCAACAAATTCACAATAAAAAATACCTGCAATTTTTGCAGCTGTACCCTAAAAGTTGAATTTGGATGTATATGATGACATCAGTTAATAGTTAATATGGTCCTTTTCTGTCAAAGCTAAATCTCAGAATGGCTCTTTGAAGTCTAGTGGGGGCAACTTAAGGAGTTTCAGGGGGAAAAGCCCGATATCTTGCAGTGTTATAGGAAGTATTTATCTTCTTTTACTCCTTGGCAGGGTATGGAGCAAGCTTGGTCGTGTGCTAACATCCCTCCAAGTAGATGCCTCACCCCAGGTAGATGATTCTACCAGCTCTCTACCCCTCCCTGAAGACAATCTTCTTGATGGGTTCTCACCACAACAGGAGTTTCAAAGGTAAGCAAGCATGATCATGACTTTCTTTGTTTTTTGTACAACAGGGGGGTGTTTCACAAAGATCCTAAGTCAAACTTTACTCTAAGTTAACACTATTCTTTAATTTCTTATCTTAATTTGCAGCTTTTGTTTTAGTTACATGCCAATATTTTGCATATTTGTGTTTTTCAGGGATCTCGACTTTGGTAAGAACAAGCGACAAGGTTGGAATCGGAATGCTATCAACCAGGAGAGAAGTCAGAGACTAAGCAGTCAGGGAAAGTGGCTTGCTCATCACCAACCAAGGTAGGCTCGGCCACAGTCTAGGAAAGGCTTCTTCTTTGACTATGCCGTGGTCTGACTTTCTCCTAAAGCCTAGCCTAGCTACCTAATGTCAAAATGTGACTCTATAAACATCCTGTAGAGGCCATGTAACAGCCATAGGTTTCTATGATACATGCTCTGGTGACAAGCTACTTTCCTAAACTATCAAATGCCAATCGTCAACCCTGGACCAAACACCTAACCCTCACCTGAACCAGAAACCCAACCTCACACCTAATTGCAACCTTCACCCTAACCACATATGTATGGCAAAACAGAGCCCCAAGAAAATATTGATTGCAACTCTTTCAATTAATGATATGTTTCCCTTAAATGATAAGGGTCAGCATCTTGGCATACATCTTCTATGGCCTACGTCTTAAATACCGGTAGTGAAAACGAAAATTCAAAAGGATGAAGGGGGTGGAAATCAGCCCCAAATGTCCCCATCCCTTCCACATATTGCATCACGTTCTAACTCTTCACATATTTTCCATCTCTTCTTCAGTCTGCTCAAAGTCGAGACAAACCCCTCAAACAAGCTTGTCTTTACAAGTCCTCTGGGAGATGATGTAACGTCACGGAGATCCTCTCATCACCAACAGAGACAACAGAGGGCAGCAAAGGCAGCTACTAACATCAAAGGTAAGCATAAATGATGTAGAGGAAGAGATGTTTGTATGATGGGAAATTGAATTGCTGTATCTCTTCATTGTATTTCTGCCACTGATTTTTGTAGAACTTGGCAAGTTTTGATACCGCCATTAAATTGTTTTGCTTCTATTTACTTCTTTTTGTTGGTTTGTTTAAGAGTGTGTTTGTGTCTCATGGGCCCCTTTGGAGAGTAATGCAAATCAATGATGGGGTTACATGTACCTAGTGTGAATTATACATGATATAATTATAATACTACCAATGATGATAATAACAATGATAATGATATCTATGATGATAATAACACTCACAGGTCTTCTCAGTAATATATTTGGAAGAGGGTGCAGATTGACTTTATGGAGTCTTTATGCATGAGCCCTATGTAAAAATGTCAAACGTTTGGGGTCCAGACTTAGATTTTGGGTGCCCATGTGTCCCTGGTGCCTTTCAGTGCCAAGCCCTGTGAGTGGTATGTTTCTTCATGAACTGAAATGAATGTCCCTATTTGTACTAGGTACAGAGACATCATCCAGAGTGGCATCGATAGAGAAAGACACTCCCAAGAAGATTGCAGGAGCGCATAGGAAAGATGGAAGCAGAGACAGAGGAAGTGAAGAGAACCATAGCAAGACAATAGCTGTTCAGGTAAGAGAATCTGTTGTACAACGTAGTATTGGAGAATCATAGAAGGGGTTATGCATTCTGCAGAACTGTCTGTTTAACTGATGGCAATTACTGATAATGTTCATCACTTACAAAACATACAGACTTTTTAGAGTAATGTGTATTGGGTGAAGTCATGAAAATCAAAGTCAAAGTGAGGAAAATTGTGTTATTTATACAAGTTTTTGACAGCAGCTCAAAGTCACTCCCTTCCATCTTCTTTATTAGCATATTACCAGGAGCCAGAAGGGCAGTATTAACTAATATTATTTTGCACAAATAATGCCCTTCTAGCCCAAACAGACAATATTCACTCTTCATATAAACAACTGAATGTATCTTTTGTGCTCGTCATTTGCAGGCAATAATGTCAAGGCCCAACAGTGATGTGAATAAGCCTACAGCGATCTTTAAAGGTCAAGGTCAAGAAAGAACGACTGGTCAAGGAAGCAGCTCAAAGTCCTCCAAGTCTCCGAGCAGTGGAACCACCAAAGACTTGGAAGGATCCAAGCGCCATGTCCAATGGCAGAACCCTCCCCATGCCTTTGCCCAGGAGCCTGCATCTTACTACCCTCCAAAACCACACCCTACCTCTCAGCCCCACCCGAATGCACAACCACACCTTGGACCGGGAGCTGCACAACCGGGGCAGCAACCCCAGGCTCCAGGCCTCGCCCCTGCCCCACGACACCCTCCTCCATCAGGCCCATATCCCCAACAAGGGGGCCAACAGCGCCTCCCACACCCCTATGGTCACCCACCCCCTCCAGGCCCTCCACCACCTGGTGTTCCTCCACCCTCTATGGGCATGCCCCCGCCCGATCAAATGTACCCTCCACCACACATGGGTCCCCCACCGTCGTTCAATCCTAGCTCCCAGAATGCCCCGCCCAGGGCGATGCACCCTCCCCCTCCCAGACCAATGGGTCCCCCTCCAATGCCCCACATGGCACCCCCAGGATGGCAGCAGCCTCATAGGGATGTCAGCAGGGATGGACAACCAACACATCTTCCAAGAGATGGCCCACCTTCGCCACGAGGAGTACCTCCTCATATGCAACCACCTAAGGTCCAGGTACGATACAAGCTTCTTACCGCCTGCTAAGGGCCAGAACATTGATAGATATCTTTTGACATAAATATAGTGCTTTTCGGGCTCCCAGCAAACAATTTGTTGGTAACAAGAGGTTTATTGTCTTCCACTTTCTCATGTTTTGTAGAGAGGACAAGACTATAGTGGAACAAGGCTATGATATTGTTTGACATATTAACTCATATGAAAACACATAGATGAATGTACCGGTATTGATATGTTCTAGTGATAAAAATAATCAGGCTAATAATTAGGCTATCCGCATAAACATACTTTCAGTGCATCTAGACAGGGTATTTGCATATTTGAATCAGACAATTTAGATTTGATATCTGACAACTTTAACTTCTTTAACTTTAACTTTAATTCATGGTAAAACAATCAGCTGATTTTGTAAGAAGTTGTGAGTGTAATCTCTGCTTGAATTACAGATTCCACCACCGATGCCCCAAGGAACCCAAATGTCCCCCAATTCTAACATGCCCCAGCCACCGGGCCACCCCCACCACCAGGGCAGTTGGCCGACCAGGCCTGGTCCAATGCCCACTGTTGGAGAGCGGCAAGAAGACCATCCTACAGGTGACACCATGTCCAACATCAGCATGTGGAATGCAGCCATGCAGGACAAACTAACCCATGCCCACATGCAGAGGGGTGGACCGCCAGACATGCAACAGTACCAGCAACAAGGGCAGCAAGGCATGGGAAGGGATACAAGCCCTATGCGTAGCCCCATCGACAACTCCACACAATTCAGGCTGTCTCCTTCGGTGGAGGACTTTGGTCAAGGGCCAGTGCAGGCTAACCAACCCCCAAGAAGGATGTCCAACCCTACAGAAGTAAGTGTGTCAACAGTTACTATCTCACACAAATAGCTACTAAACAAATTTGTTTAGTTGTTGATTGGCCTTTTGTTTAATAAATCATTCTAAGCATAGTGGTTTGAAGTTCTTCTATTCTAATTGATACTTTGCAACCTGATGAAGCTAAATATTTGTGTGTAAAAGATCTGTGGATATTCCTATTGAGACAGTTATCCATATGTCTTTCGTTTTCTCATTAGATGCAGATGCAGGGCTTTGGGCCAAACCAAAACTTTGATCAGGGTCGGATGAACTACATGCCATCCATGGCCAAGCCGCATGAGCATCAAGTTCGTATGCAGCCGCAGCAGAAGCAGCAGCAACAGCCAAGCGGAGGACCCCCTCCGCAGATCCTAGACAACCAAGGTGCCAATCTCCTTGAGTTGCTTGCGAAGATGCAGCGGCAGATTGTTCCAGAGAATCCCATCGGCAGTGGCAGCAGCAGAACCAAGATGCGCTATTCTCCCGAAGAGCACTCTGTGGACTCCTTCCGTGCCAACTTGGACAACCCCAGTATCCAGCAGAAGAATCTCAGAGATCCTCCAGGATTCCGCAATGCCTCGGAGAGGTTCTATGATGATCAGCTGGCCAAGAACAACGGGAGGTCTGGTGGGCCGGATTACTACAGCATGCAGCAAGGGGACCAGAGGGGCATGATAGGGTACAACCCACTTAGCAACAAGTCCCAGGGAGGGTCAGCATTCAGGAAGGTGCAACCACAGCAGCCTGATCGAGAAGACTCATTGTTTCCCCAGTCAGACTTGGAATCCAAAGGCTCCAGATCATACGAGCCAGGGGATCCTTTTTCATTCTTCACAGGATCTTCAAATCAGCAGGAGAAGCAGCAGCATTCTCAGCGGCAGCAGCTTTTGGGTGGGGACATCTTTGGGCAGGAGTCAGGGTTGCAGGAACCAACACAATCTTTCCAATACAGGTATACTTAATTTTTTCATTGCCTTTGTTTGCTTGTTTGTTTTTATCAAGAAATTGTCTTCAATTTTAAGTGCCATTGATGAACAGGTTAAGACACTCAATTTTTCCTGAGAGCTCATTTTGATGTTTCTTTCTAAAAAGCATAATTTACAGGTATTTTAATACTTTTCCGTTTCTTTTTTTTTTGTCAGAGTTCTTGTGGAGACTATCATACTTTAGTAGCTTTCTTATTCCATGCATTTCATCATTTTCTATTTTAAATGTGAAAAGGATCTTTTAGCAATGAACGTTGTAATTTTCTCAGATAATTTCCTTAGATTTTCAAATTACAAATATTTCACTGGGGTCAAAAGAAATTCCATGAACTGTATGCTTTCCTTCTCTTGTACCCTATTAGGAGATCCTCTGGAGGACTGTATGAAAACTCCACCCCTGGCTTTACGTCCTCCCAACCCCAAACATCTGGCTCGGATAACACCTGGAGAATGGAGAACAGAGAGGATGGCAACCAGCATCTCCGTGGTATCTTCCCTGGTCCCAAAGCAGGAGGAGGAGCAGGAGGGACTGGAGGTAGTGGTGCTGGTAGCAGTGCTGGTAGGAGGGGGTCAGAGGAGATGACGTCTGCTGGTTATAACGCTCGTTGGACGGGCGACGCCCAGGAGCAGATGGCGGGTGAGGGCACCAGACGCCCTTCCCAGGATGCATTGTTTAATCAGGTAATCAAGTTTTGAGAAGCGTGTTCATAACAATCTATATTGATTGGGCTGCCCGTTGAGAGAAACTACAGGAAGGTCATTCTGAGTAAATTTTGTTGGAATTCTACAGAATTGTATTTGCTGTGGTTTGCAGAGCTTAAGAATACCATTACCCTTCATATTAAGACCTGTATGATAGTATATTAATATGATTTCTTGACTCATCAATCTATATCATGTATCTATCAGACATGAATAAGCACACAAAATGATCAATATTCATTCTGTGACATTTCAGATGAACTCTGGAGGCAGTGGTCTGTTCCAACGGGAATCATACATGGAACAGGAACCCTCGGCACCCTACCCTACACCACAGCATCACCAGTCAACTACATCCAAGAACAGGTATGAATAACCCAACAGGGACTAAACCTATTGACTTGTAATGGTCTAAGCAAGTTGTTCTTGTGTGACAAGTTTAAAGCCCCACTGCAATACTTATAGCTACTTGCGCCCTCTATACAGCCAACAATGCCCCATGATACCCTTTTTCTTATGTTATTTGAGAGCTGATTTGATGAGATAACCACCTGCCAGTGACCTCTCAGGGAGGTCTAATCCCTCAATGCCAAACTAGTGCAGAGGGCTTTAAATCAATTTAATAAAGGATATATTCAGAGGTTTCACTAGTGATTCAATCAGTACTTGTAAGAAATTGTAAGAAATTTCTGTTGAAAAGATCCTTAAAGTTCAAATTTCAGAAATGAAATGGGTTACAATTTTAATTGAACCTGTTCAAGAAATGAAATGAAATGAAATGAAATGAAGACTGGAAGAAAATTTACACTAATCCTTTAAAATGTTACCTTTCTATGAAACTTTGTTATTTTCAATTCAGAATTATTAAGGGTCAACAAATATCTTCACATTATTATATGGGCATATCTAATTCTAATGTATGCACATTTGTCATTTTGCTTTTCCTCTGTTTAATGTATTTCACACTTGTTTTGGGAATGTCCTGTTACGCATCAATTCATTCATGACTTCCAAAGCACTATTCTAAACAATGAAGTGCTATCGAATAAAAAATTCCTTTTTGTTTGGTTTCCCAGATGGTATGCATTCTATCTTTAAATTTGTCATTTTATATGCAAAACATTATACATTCTCTGCGAAATGCAAAAGGAAAGGCTATCTTTGAATTCTTTTTAATGTCACAACATGTACTTTATTCAAATGTACAGCTACTTCTCTGGTAGTGCTTTGAAAGGGAAGCAGTCCGATGAAGAGAATGCTTTCTCTAGCAGTGGCAGTAGCTATTCCCTCTTCAGCTCACCCTCCCCCTGGTCATCTAGACAAGAAGAAGGTAAGGGAATAAGAGAATGTTATTTATGGTGAAGTTAAGAATTTGTGAACTTCTCCGTCCTTTTATTCATATTTTGAAGAAAAGTATAGCAGCAGTGGCACAAAAAAGGTGTGATTTAAATGCCCTTCTATTCCTTATATAAGTATAAATGATTTAAACTTAATACCAAATTGTAATGCCATTTTTTAATTTAATTTAATTTATTTTTTATTTATTTATTTTTATTATTTATTTATTTATTTATTTATTATTTTTTTATTTTATTTATTTATTTATTTATTTATTTATTTATTTATTTATTTATTTATTTATTTATTTATTTTTTTTTTGGGGGGGGGGGTATAGCCCCATATATGTACGCAGGGCATACTCTCTCAGATTCAGTGATTTCTTGCCTTGAATGTTCTAAAACATCACAATACACAATTATGTACTACATAATAAATTTTTCCAATTACTAAACTGCTTTCTTTCACATTGCAATCACATGACCAATCATGTATCAGAGAATGTCCTTTAGCGGGCTAGTAGTAGTGTATGTTGGTCATGTGATAGAGGAAGAGGATTGCAGAACATCTTGCTGGAAGGAATGGTATAGGGTAAACGAGAAAGGGGTAGAGAGCGAATCACTTGGTTTGATAATGTCAAGAAACGGACTGGCCTTAACTATGGAGAGGATAGAACAAGGGCAGAAACATGACAGAAAGCGATGGGACGGCACTAGATGATGATGATGATAATGAGTATTGAGAAGCTGCACCCAAAAACTAATAGTATAAACAACTGTTTTTGTCTTTGCTCTGTTAGATGGAGGAGGAATGAGTAAGTCTGGAGAGGGTCTTGGGAGTACACTGGGGCTCAAATGGAGAGAGCCTCAGCTATCAAGCTCACCAACCAGCAGCTTGCTGCCAGAGAGGATACAGGTAATTGGTTTGTTTCATCAGTGATTATTATTCAAATAATACACAGCAATGAGGGCATTGGTAAGAATTACCCACACAAGGTACCTTTGGAACACGCCAAAGGCGGTAGCCAAGGGTGTTTGGACTGTTTTGAAGGTACAGAGTGTGGGTAATTTTACTAATGCCCGAGCAAAATGATGTGTATTATTTGTTTGATAAGATGATGTTTTGTTTGTTTTATAACATGATTTTACTAATGACCAGCATTAGTAAAATTACGTGTGAGGCAAAATAAATGCCTGGTCATGTGTACCCTCTCAACCAATCATTTGATTATGATCCCCTTCATCATCTTATCAAACAACTATACTCTCCTTTCTGTGTATTCCCTAAACATTTTGAGGGCTAATACAGCCAAACAGATAAAGATAACCATGTAGGGGCTGGATTATATAATGATTTTCTGAGCCTCTAAGGTGCATAAGATTATGAACCTAGGTAACTTGGTGAAGCATCTCATAGTGTAATGGATTGTAGATTTGTCAGGGTAGGCAGAGAAGCATAACCAATTTGAGGAAGTTTCCATTCTGAGCATGGGCAAACTGACATTTCTTGTTGTGGTGTGAAAACGGTCAACAAATATATGAATTTGGTCTTTAAAAATCTGCCAGACTTAAAACTATGCAATGAAAGCCTGGGATGTAAAACTACATTGATGGCACAGGTTTCCTTGCATAATTTGAATATTAGGACACTGCTAACGTTCAAATTTCACAGATACGACATACATGACATATTCATAATTCCTGCAAAGTTCTACAGAATTTGAGGTTGGCTGCAAAAGGGACATACATGTAGTACCTTTAAAGCAAAACTTAGATAGGACCTTAACCAGGAAATGTGAAGTTCATGACTTCTAATCTGTTCCTTACAGAGTATCTGGTCCAGCCCAATGCGCTCCGAGCAGTCACCCCTGGAGAAGATCCTAGGCCACACGGTAAGCCTGGAACAACAGAAGCCCGACACGTGAAGGAAAGTCGCAGGATGACAACCTAATCCCTGTGGATGGTCGGACGGTCGCGGACGATCCACTGGCGGTTAGGAGAGAAGAAACCAAAACTATCCAGCAACTAAAACATCAAGATCATCAACCAGAAAATAACAATGAGCACAAGAAGCTCCTATAACACGTAGAGAAGAGGAAAGAGGGAGAGAGAAGGAGAGCACAGCCGATCCGGTTGTATCCTTTCTCTCTGCATTATCCTATTCTATAGGGTGTTGACTTCAGGACTCTACTACAAATAAATACTGTGTTATTGAATCATTAAGGTCATTTACACTTGTTTTGTTGTCATCTATAGGCCTTGGAAAAGTGTTCAGGATATACGTACAAACAAAATGTCATTTACAGTTATTTTGTTAATAACGTTGATAGGCCTATGAAGAGAGGTTCAGATTTAACGTACGTACAAAAGTGACATCCTTTGCACTTTTTCCGAGATTTCTTTAGGCCTACTAAGAGTGTTTAGGATATGTAGTTACATAATGAAGCTTTATTTCATTCTTCTTTTGACAAATCTTGTAACATGTGAATGTTACAGTGAAGCTCTGAGATGTGTGTTAGCCTATAGGAGGCTCAGGAGGTATTATACCTGTAGAGGGCACCAGAACTGCAAGCATTACATCATTCATGAGAAGAGATTGAATTGAGCAGAAAACTACTGTAGGCTAGCAAGAGACCATGGCAAAGAGTAGCACGTTCTGATACTTGTAAACACGTTTACATGATTGATTTTGTTAATTTTTTAGATAGTATCGATCAGTTTGTTGATCTGTTATAACAAATAACATAGACTCAAGAGAAGAATTAGAGAGTGAGATGAAATGTCACAGACTTGCTACCTGTTGAGGTGTACAAAGATGGCTGTGAAATCTTATAGTGTTTATGTATATAATGCCCAGCATTTGAACAAGGTCAAATCTGCTGCAGTTTGCGATGTCGAGAATGAAATAGTGTGAGCAGAAGATAAATGCAAGAAGCAGCGTCTGTAATTCTTTTTTCCAAAGGTGTTGTTCACACTTGGTACTACAAGGTGGAAAGAAAAGAAAAATGAGCAAAAGAGTGCAGAAAGAAAAAGAAAGTTCAGATAGAATGATATGAAATGTGTCGGTTTTATTTTGTTATTGAAATCTGCAATAGGAGTGGTTGTTTTTCAAAACGTTGAGATAGAAGGGAATAAAGTTAGATTCTTATGGTGATATTGAAACGATTATTAGACTTTTATTCTATTTCGATAGGATTTCATATTTTGTTTTGATAATCAAACTGCACAAAATGTTTACTCTGCTATATGCAAAGCTGTAGTAAATGTTAACTTTCCTATTTCGTCTGTAAACTGCAATATCAACCCTGTGTATTGTATATATGAAAGAACCTGAATGACAAGGGTTTTGATTGGTACAAACCCTGCAGAATGGTGTTCAAATCAACTAGATAATGTACTGGTAGACTGAATCAATACAGGTGTGTCATCGAGCCATGGCTACTTCCACTGTAAGCCCTGAATGTGTATCCAAATCGGATTGAACTCTTATAACTACAGAACAAGTTGCTTTACAGGAAGCTTTCAAGGTTTTTAGGTATTCATCTATTTGAGTTCATGATGCTCATGACAACCAAACTGAATCTTTTAATAATTTATGAAGAAGTTGCTAAACAAAATGACTTCAATTGTCTCCAGAGCTACATGTACATGTAGTAGGGTTCATAATCTTCATAACAATACTGATTCATCCAAATTTGATATTTTCTTTGCTAGAGGCCTTAAAAGTTCCAGAGCCAAGTGTAGAAGGGTTCATACATGTAAACGTTACCTAACAAGATGCTTTGCTAGATGCATTAAAGGTTTCCAGATCAGTTAAATGATGATGCCTTGAAAATGGGTAGTCACATTCTCAAAGCCCCAAATGCCATTTCTTTTAGCACATTTTCATTTTTTCATGCTTTGCTCTACTTTTCCATAATCAAATCTCTGTAGTGAAAATACTTTCCAGATGTGAAAGCTGAATTTTCTCATAACCATGTTGATTTTTAGAACTATGCTCTTGGTGTACATTGCACCTTATTGCTAAGGACATCAGTTTGGTTGCTAAGGTGCCTGGGACAGGCTAGGACTAGCACGTATGCCTTTTTTTATTGTATGGTATCCTAAAACTGATATTTCTATTTTCTGATGCATGAAAGTTACTCGTTATAGAGTCACCATCAATTTTATTGTATTTATGTGAAATGCATTTATGTGTTTGTTACTCTATTTTATTTTTGAATTCTTATGCATGTGTAGACTCTAGAAGAGTCTTTGTCTTATTCAAAGAGTATTATATCCCGCAATCCCTTTCTGTCCCGAAGTAGCTCTTTCATGTTCTAAACCTGACGCAGATGTTCTCTAGTAAATTGGTACTACCTATTGATTTACAGGTCCATGTATGCAGAGCTCTGCACTGACTTCTTGCACTGGCGTCCAGATTGTTATTCTAAGGTCTGTTTGCATAAGGCCCTCGTTTAATATCCTAAATGTTGGGGCTTCTGAGTGAAAATGTCTGCAATGGGCGTCTGTTAGTGTCAGGCTCTGATGTATGTCATCTGTAATTATGATGATCTATTAATTAGCTGCTTTATAGTTAATGTTAGGAGGAGATGAAACCCATTCACACCAAAGTGTGAAACCCATCGAGACAAAAACAGTATATGCTCTGATGAGAACTATTTACCCCAATCAAGACATTATGTATTGATCATAATCACTGTGATAAATAGTTAAGAGTAATGATCTTAGGCAGTTCCTATTGGAATATAATTTTTACTATGAATACTCAAAGTATACTCTGAACATTATGCAGATTATCCATTTCAATATCAACACAAAATAACTACCTTATGTAATGTTTCACTGTAATGTGCTTTTGCTTTGCTACCTGAGATATGCTATCATTTGTTTTTCTGCTACTTGTTCATCTATTACTTGAATCTTTTGTTTATTTATTTCAGACTATGTTGAGGTAAGACCATTTTATAGGCACACATATCATTAACATGATTAGCTTACTACACTGTCACTGAATGTGATGGATCAGAAATATGTCATTTGGGAAAGTATTTTACTTTTAGTTTATTTTAATCTTATGAATAGTTATAGCCAAAGACTAACATTTTTGTTGTTGAATAAAAGTCAATCTATTAGATGATGCAACAGACATCATTCAGAAGCAGAAACTAAACCTGTTGAGATCTTTCAACTCTACCTGAAGAACAAGAAACATTTATGCCGGAATGGAATTACATGAAGATAGAGTCAAACCTGTCTATTAACGACAGCCCAAGGGAAACACAAAAAGTGGTCTTTGTAGACAGGTTACTTAGTACATGTTTCAATGAAAAAAACATTTTCAAGGGAACCAATATATATGTGGTCTGTGTAGACAGGTGGTCACTAAAGCAGGTTTGACTGTACAGTGATATGACTGGCAAATGATGTCCTATATACATATATTTTTTCAGTATTATCCTCACTTATATGTACTTGGCCCTATATGTTCATATTGATATGTTCATAATTCAAATGTAAAGAAAGGAAATACAGATTGCGCAAATGTATCTCAACATTTCAAATCTCATATCAAATATCAATGATATACTTTTGTTATATTTATAAAGCATATTTTATGATGATAAATTAATGCTAAAGGAATACAATTTATCGCATGTAATGCACATGGAATAGATACTAATCCAACATCAAATACAGATGAGTTGCTTGAATCGTGATTGCTTCAGAAGTTTCTTTTAATGCTTATTGAGTAACAAATTTGGCTGGGTTGTTAAACAAAGCATCCAAGTATCCAAAGGAATTACAGATTGCTCAAATATATATGAACTTGTAAACTCTCATATTAATAATTGAATTAACATGTGTTTATATAGCACATTGTACGATTAGAAATTGATATTAAAGGAATACAATTTAGTGCATCCAATGCTCATGAAATAGATTCTGATCTAACATCAAATTGCTGATTGTATCCATTGTCTTTTATCATGCAACCAATATTAGTCGCTTGAAATGCACCTGCCTCGGAAGTTTCTTTTTATGCTTGATATCTAGCATTTCTTATACAAAATTTGTTGGATCATAAAATAACACCAACTCCATAAAGGCCAATATAAATCTTAAGCCTCGCTCAGATATGACCAGCATTTTTGTTGATGATGTCATAGAGTGTAATACGCCTCACACTGCTCTATCTTATATAAGACGGAGCTCCCTGAATATGCAAAGAACCTTTGTTGATATCATTCATTTACACTTCAAACAAAGAAGTAGTGTTTTTTTTGCGTCTGTGTACCGCCTTATCTGAACGCGCCTTCACCTGTTGTAATTCTGCGCACATAATGCAGTCCCACCGCTACCCTATCAATTAGTGTTTACATGTATACCTCCATGAAGAAACCCTTGACATGTAACAGACACTATGAACATGACTGACAAAGAAAGCGGACAAAATATACAGTTTCTCAGGTAGACAAAGGAACATCTCTTCACTGCTATTATGTACAAATGTGTAGAACAGGTGTCACATGCATATTCACCTTTTTACACAATAGCAGTGAAGGGATGATCCTTTGTCTACCTGAGGAACTGTATATTTTGTCCGCTTTCTTTGTCAGTCATGTTCACAGTGAGAGGGGTCTGGACTGTCAAGACTAGTTAGCCGCTCCTGGCGCAAATGACAAAGTTAGGCCAAGCTAGGCTATGCTGAAGGCTTCAAGGAATTGCGTTTGAATGTCAAAATGGATGCTGTGCTTGGATATTAATTCATGACATCACTTCATTGCCTATTAACCCTTTGAGTACCAATACAAGATATTTGTGTTTGCTTTTGAGGCATCCAGTTCTAAGTCCTTAATTGTCATGAATGATTTTTTAAGTTGGTGGACTTCAACAGCTAGGTATTATGCGTTTGAATACTGATCAGGCGCGTCATTGTGTTTTATGTTTCACAGAAAAAAGATATGCATGTATTTATAGTTGATGATGATGGGTTATTGGATATACAATAAAAAAAATTATTAACGTCTTCAAACCCACGACTTCTGCCATTGAGTATGATTTCTGTGTCTTTGTTCCCCCATTCTATGCTTCCTTTTTATGCTTCCTTTTTATCAACATCTTTTTATCAACATCTTTGAAACATGATTCAAACACTTTTAATAGATTAACCTAAGGCAATTTCAGTAAGCCAGTTCAGAAAAAATATTTGTATTATGTCTGATCAGATAAAGATTATGTACAGAACTGTAAAACCCATCGAAACGACTGCTGGATATGTGTTCATGGAAGTTGTGTAATCCTGCATTAATGCACGGAGCAGGGAGTTGATACAAAGCCCGGATACACAGGTAGAAGTTGTTTTTCTCAAGAGGGTAAAAAAAAAGGTAATCATGAGCACTGCCATCATTAATGTGGGACTTCTCCATGTTTAAAACACCTGTGGATTGTGGGATCATGTGTCCATACATGTGCTATCTCCGAATCGGTCTGTAGCCTTGTGCATAGTGTGAACATGATGATGGCATATTACGTAATCCAATCATGATTTCTCCCTTGTGAGGATGTGGAACAGGCAGACGGGTCAATAAAAAGAAGTTGTTGTCCTTAACCGTTATCACACCAATAGATTACATGATGACATCCACTGGCGTACTGATGGGGCAGTTGCCCCCCCCCCCCCCCCGAAGAAGAAAAAAAAATATTTGTAATTTGATTGATACCAGTGATTTACATTGTTGCTGAAATGACATGATTTTCCGGGTTTTTTCCTCACCGTTATCGTCAATATCCACATCCCCCCTTAAAAAAAAAATTGCCTATTATGCCACCTGGTGGTGATGCAGAATTTCTTTCTGCCCCCCAAAAAGTTTTTGCTCATTATCCCACTGATGGCATCTTACTCTTTGTCTTCAGTCAGTCACAGTTATGAGAAATTACAGATCTCAAAGACTTCCAAGAAATCAACTGAATGACCATATCCTTGTGTCTGGCCTTTTGATTGTATGTTGGGATTACATGACATGTCATTGTCATGTTCAGATTATTGAATATACTATGCAAAAGGATATTACCATTGCATTGGGATAATTCTAGAAAGTCTTTGCGCTCGATCGTGCCGAAGGGACATTCAATTGTACAAGAAAGACATGTATGTATACATTGTTTAATATGTCAAGATGATCATTAGGCCAAATAAGAAAGGTTAGCGTTCTGTTTTTTCGAAAAATAGGAAGGAGGAGACCCTTTTTTTTTCTTTCTTTCTTTCAACAGTCGGGCTATTTTTCAAAATGGCCGCCGACATTTTGTTGTATTTTTTTAAAATCAGAAATAGATCCATTTTAGCAGTGTTTTTCATGTTTATTTTCTTTAAAAAAAATAAAATAGGAGGCGGCCCCCAAAAAGGAAGCGGGCGGGCACGCCAAACATGTATATGTTTTTAATGGCCTTACACAGCTATTGTCCTATATATTGGCATCAAGAGAAAGGCCTTTTTATCGTGTTAAACCTTGTGCCTTGTGTCGTCATTTCACCAAGTGGCATAGCGTGGGTCCAGGCGATGAGGGGGCACTGACATGAGTGGAGGGGGAGGGGGGGGGGGGGGGGGCAGGGGTTACCACTGGTTTGAAAGGTTGACATTTTGAAAGGTTTGTTTTATTTCGTAAACGGCCCCACCTGGGACATGGAAGAAATACAAATAAATGGTACAATGATATTTTACAATCGAGACATCGTAAAAAAGGAAGAAAAAATACAACATATGTATCTTACTAAAGAAAGGTTCTTTGACATGCAGCAAACAATACACAATAAATTGCAGGAAAAATGTCTACAATAACCAACAACAACAACAAAAGACTTAAGTAAAACTATAAACTCGATATAAGATATTGTCAGTGTAAACAGCGCGTATACTACGCTAAAAAAATAAAAAAAAAAAATATATATAGATAAATTGTATATTGGGAAAGGTAAAAAGGGAGGGTCTGTGAGCGGGTCTAGCTTTCATCCGATTTCAGTTTTTCTTTCCCCACCCCCCCCCCCCTCTCTCCTCTCTCTCTCTCTATCTATCTCTCTCTCTCTCTCTCTCTCTCTCTCTCTCTGTTCACGTTCATTTGAGGGAAGGTCACACGCCCTTTTCCCGACTAGCTACGCCATGAACTGATTCTACCCATGCATGTCTGCTTATGTATTTATATTCCACTTTTTCTATTATATTACCAGATTTTAATTGCGGGGACCCAATTCCCGATTTTCCCCTAAAACCTATCAAAAAGAAGAACATCATCGTTGATTGGCATTGGTGACCTGCAGCTGACGACACTAGCAAATTAAAAGGAACGGCCGGGCGGGGGCGGGGTCAAGCTGATTTCAAGGCACTTGTATAAGTGTGGGTCCAGCGATGAGGGGGAAGCTGTGGGAGTATAGGTCCTTTCTCCTTTCCATTTTTTTCGCTCTCCCTCTTGCCGTTCTTTATCGGCAACACATAATGGTGAGATGGGGGGGGGGGGTGGGGTGGAATATGTATCCCCCGTATCTATACGCCTGCCTGTAAACGGAACACACTGAACCGCGGATATCTGCGCCAGTAAATTGTCCTTAGACCTATAGGAAGGGGATAGGCGGCCACACTGTAACAAAAAATTGTTGAAGGTGGGGGGGGGGGGGGGGGGGGACAAAGCGCCTCATTGAGTTTTTGTATAATCTACCCGGGAGCGAACGAAGAGAAACAACTGGAGCAGGGCAATATGAGCAGAAAATACTGAAGATCTGGATTAAAGTGTATATTCATGGATTTTACATAACTTGCACTGGAGCTGATGGGGAATAGGGGAGCCTCCACCTTCCTCTCGTCCCCATTATACTGTCGATCAGTTACGGATTCGGGTCACGCCCTATTACATCCCCTTCAACACTCCATACAGCGAAACAAGAAATATTGGAATTGCATTTACCTCTATGAACTTCATTAGATTAAACTGGGAAAAACATCAGCGAACAACAATGCTATTAAGAAAAAAAGCACACGCAGCCATGATTTCCTTGATAGCCCTGCTTACAACAACAGTTTATTCGGTTAATGGGGCAGGCTGTGTATTTCACAGGGGTGGTAATGCCATTTGGGGCTGTTCGAAAAATTGGAACGAGGCGAAAATTGCAATGTCCAATGGTGCGAGTGACAATGAGATTATGCGGAAATTAAATACCGTTCCTCGGAATACCAGATGCAAATCTTATACCTCCCTTATGTCCACTGTGCCGCACAGGTTATAGAGAGGGTGTTTCTTGTTAAAACATTTGTTTGCTGTTCGCTGCCAAAGATTTTCTTGTTTTTAAAGATTTTTGTTTATTTTTTAATTTCAAATATGAATATCATTGTTGAACATTATATTTGTACTATTCAACTGTATTTATTCCACGCCCCAGAAGGGGCCGCTAAAGAAAAAGAAAAAAAATCTGTCCTTGTCATTGTCAACCATCCAATCAACGAAACTACATACCAACCAACCATTTAACCAATGAACCATTTACCCAACCAACCATCAAACCCACCAGCAGACTAAACAGCCATACAACTCCCCCCCTACTCAGAAACCAACCAACCAACCAACCCACCTCATAAACCAATTAAACTACCCATCCACCAACCAACCAACCGACCAACTAATAAACAAACTATCCATCCACACAACAAATTAACCAACCAACCTATTAGTGCGGTATGGTATGTAATCCCGTAGGATTCTTTTGCCAAAATTGATTTTTGTTGTTGTTGTTGTTGCTGTTTTGGCTTCAAAAGGGTCCCAATTGGACACAAATGATGGGGTTCAAATTTTCAGACCCCTACTTCCCTTCCTTTGGGGGGGGGGGGGGTCAATTTTGGCGCCAAAATGGCTTATATAAAGCGCAATAGGGAAATTTGGTGTCTTCGGGAAAATTTGAACCCCATCAATTTCTGATAGCTTGGACCCCAATGAATCCAAAAATGCAGTTTCAGTGAGCTGTTTCAGTGACATACCGTACCACACTATATTCACTAACCAGCCAACGAACCAACCAACCTAAAACACAAGAAATCGATCAATCAACCAATCAACTCATTCATCCATCAAGATAATTTCAAGTCCATCCATCCATTCATCAATCTATCAATCAAGCAGTCATTCAATCAATCATAATTTTTAACCAATTCTTCAATCGATAAATTAATCAATCAATAGATCTATCTACTCATTCATCCATCCATCTATCAAGATATTTTCAAGTCCATCCATCCATCCATTCATCCCTTCATCAATCAATCAATCAATATCATTTTACCAATTCTTCAACCAATCAATCAGTCAATATATCAATGAATTCTTCCTTACCCAACGACATCATAATGTTACCTTATAAACAAAACAACGAAAGAGAAGCAAGTATCTGTTTCAATGAACACACAATACAATTTAATTTTTGACTCACACCATTTCAATTTACAAACACTCATTTCATCCCTTCAAATTCGTTTCTTTCTGAATAGTTTCATACCGACAAGAAAGTGTAAGGAAAACTTGACAAACATCCTTGACGAATAGAGCAAGTATCCATATCTAGAACATTAAAAACGAATTTGTTTCACTCTCTAAATAGTCATAAGAAATATATAATTTTGGAATGACGAACAATTCAAATAATAGCACTCATTCATTAAAAAAGAAATGATGAGTAAAAACATAACTGCTTGGACCAAACGAATAAAATTTCGCTGAACAGGGTCCTTAATACGAGACCGACACTTGTATATACTTCAAATTGCTTCGACTCCCACTAGATCAAAATAAATAATAACTTATCGAATTGAAGACTTTCTACATCTTTGTACATTAAACTCTGACACTAGTATACATCGACTGAAAATAAATCACTTAAGAAAAAAACAGACATATAAATCTTCATAAATACATTCATTGTACTGTAGTGTGTGACAAGAAAGATATATTGTAATTTTTTAAAGACAAAAACTGTACACTTTACAGAATACGAGGTCTGATTGTCTCTTCAATGCCTATCAAGAAGTTCACAGATTCCCTTGCTTAAATAAGTCAAATGCTTTGCTTGAATTTGAAATAATCCTAGACAGTGATATCAATATCACCTAATGCTGGGTAACCATGGTGATTAATGACACCTTGGTGCAAAGCAACTATATGTCGTCTGCTCAGAGTCAGAAGGTCATTAATTCTAATAACCTTCTGGCTCTCAATAGACAATCTAACAATTGGGATAGATGTGAATGCATATAACACCCCCTCACAAAACATTTCTAAATAAAATTTATCATTAGACCATGAACTCTTACATCATTTCAAAGCCCCAGACCTTGATTTAAGCACAGAGACATATTCTTGTTGATTTGAACATAGATGTTTTCATATATATACATATTACATAGATATATGTATGTACAAACTTGCTGTACAATCAATCCAATCACTTATATAAGATTTTATTTAGTTGATCCATTTTGTATTTTCATACCCAACTGTTCGAGTATGGTACAACATTCTAATAATATGATGAATATCATACCAAACTATTGGTTGTTTTTATAACATTTAGAAGAGTCATATATATTGTACCCATATGTTCTTACATTTAAGCATGAATTGAATACAAAATGAAGAAATCTGTATAGAGCACACTGAATCTGAGAAAAAAATATTGATGATTTGCACAAAAATGAGAGAACAGGGAAAACTAACTTGTTCAATCTTGAATTAAAATGATGTGTCCTGCATTATTCTATTTCATTTTTCAAGGAAACACAAAATGGATTGCCTGTTAAATAAGATGAAGGAAGTAAAATTAATTGAGATACGACGCCTTAGCGACAAAATTAACTTCCACATAGTGTACAGCACAGGTCATGTGAGATAAGGAAACTAGAAAAGAGTAAGGAAGAAGAAAAGATGACTGCAAAGAAGGAGAGGCAAGAAAAGATTCAAAGGATTCATATTCAGAAATGTAATTTTTTTGGTAAAACTTACAGTGGAACAAAATGCATCTTTCAAATTTCACATCATCATTTAATTATTTAAATTTAAAGCACTTGTTTTCTTAGGGCTCTATACGAACATTCTGTACAATAAAATTTCTGCATTTACAAAACTTCTTTGGATGTTTAATACTCCATGTTACGGTGGGTTTTGTTGTTCTTGACGAACCATAAGTCATTTTCAAAACAGAAATTTTGTTCCAATGACACAAACATGAATAATTTCTACAATCGTCACATCCTATCTCTACGAAAATAAGATACAACATTCATTACCAAAGAAACACAGAAAACATATCAGACCAAATGCTGACTTCATTATCTATTGTTCAAAACAAACTTTTGTGCATTTCAACAAAGTTAATTGTTCATTTTAACTTTGCACCGTAATTTAGGACATGTTTGATGATAAAAAATATAAGTAAGAACATCATTTTTAGTGAATTTAATCACAAAGAAACACTGACGCTATTGATAAGCCATTCTGCACTTCCTAAACCAATTAATTTGGGTTCATATATTGACTTTGGGACGGATATTAATTTTCACTGTCTTCCTCTTGCCCTAGTACCTTTGGTTCATCTCAAAACTTTTGGGTTTTGTAACATTTCTAAGATTTTACCAGGCTTGGTATTTCATATTCCTAAAATAAAAAAGCCTACAAGTAGAATTGTGATTTTAAGAAAGATCTTTATGCAGAAACTGATACCATTAGCAGGTAAACAGTAAAAATATAATCAGTAGTTCATGTTTAAATAGAATTCAGATCTCATAATATAGTCCTGAAAACAAGTCATTTTACCCAAGTTACGTTTGTATTTGTCACTGATATCATTTTCATAATAAATTTTCAATAAGACTGTTTTTTTTTAATGGAAGTACTATTGTAAGATGGGTCTAAGCTTCTAAATCTTCAACAAATTGTAGTAGTGTAGACTCTCCCAATTAAACTAGACACTGATAAAACTATTTAACACTGGAGGGTATCTGGGTATACATGGCAAAAACATGTACAGGTATTTGACCATCATGCTAATTAAGCTTGATAATTCTAACCATGAAATTAAATGAATTAATCAATTTCTACAACAAAGTTGTTCCCCTGACGGAGCACGAGAGACATGAGCCTTAAAATACACTGATATCCTATTGGCTTATAAATAGCTAGTGGCTTATTTATGCACACATAACAGGGAGTCCAGCTCCCGCCTGTTTTCAATGATTAAATGCTTACATTTTACCAAAGACCAACACACACTTACACAAGAAAAAATTTAAACCCTTAACGGTGCAAACCCAATCTTCTTTTCATATGAGCTTTAAAAGAACTTACAGGTATGAAGAAAGTCACTTTTTGTAAAAGTGTTGCCATACGGGTATATACTTTGGATTTCATAAATGGACATGCCCAAGGAGTCCTTCTTTATATGGCTAACTATCTTGTATCCTACTAGGTAAATTTCACATATACCTGGGTAGCAAGAAACATTAAGGTTTAAATGCCTTGCAAAAATGAAAAGTGCACAATGTGTAACGTTTTTATTGCTTGAGTGAGCAGATCTTTAACAACTTAACAATTTGGGGTATATCATTTTCTTTAGTGCGCTTGACATAAAACCCATATATGTAACCAGCCCACCAGCCCTTTCTGATCTTTCAGTTGTAAATTTATTTGTTCAAGGTGGGAAGTGGGCATTACATTTTAAAACATGAAATATAGGGATGGAAAGTATGCATCAAATCATCATGATTACATTACAAAAAGGTTTTAGAAAATGTTTGCTTTTGTGGGTACATGTATTCAATCAAGATACTTCATGAGTTAATAAGTGGAAGGGCGTGAAGGACGTGATCTCGTCATCCTCTTTTAAAGCCTGAGGCAAAAATGAGGACGTATCAACAATTTACAATATTATCATAATGAAGACATAGAAGACAAGAACAATAATCAGAGAGAATATCTCCTCAACAAGCACGTATCATAAATAGAATTGTTGTTTGACAACACGAGTAAGATATCAATGGATTGCACCTCTTTTTTTTTTACTGCATTTTCTCCATTTTCACTCTTCATATTTTGAATATAAAGAATGGTATTTTCTAACTCATGAAAATATTTCAAAGAGAACTTGGAAGAACTATAATCCTCTGATCAACTGACGATTTCTTTTAATAAACTGGTTTTATCTTTACTTCTCCATCAGTGACCTAAAAAAAGTATAAATAAGATTCTATTATACAAAATTAATTAAAGCTCTGAATAACAAAAAAAAATCATATTTTCTGAAGTATTCTTCTCCTTTTTTTTCATTATATAAAACAGTACTGACAATTAATTATTTTAGGATCCGTCTACAAAATGCTTCGAGGGATTGAAAACAATGAAGTCTGTAAAACCATTTCTCTTTGAAATATTTGTTGAGTTGCACAACGAGCTACGACCTTTCCCTACACGTCCCAGAATCTCATCACCCTGTATGACACCACCTGCTGAACCTGTTGCGACTGAACCCCCTAGCACTAGCACATTGGAGGTAGAGAATGCCCAGGAGATGGGTGCTAGAGGCCCGGTAAGGGGGGCAGGTGGAGGGCGTGGTGGGTACAGGTCCGATCTATCCTTGGAAGGATGTTGATCCCTTGATTGCACCTGGAGGATTGATTGGAGAATTAGAGGGGACTTGCAGATGGGTGTGGTAATGCGCCAGCAAGACTCCAGTTATCTCAAAATTGTCTGTTACCATGGAGATGTGGCATCGTTACCAAGGAGGTTCTGGACCGTTTCCATCTCGGGTGGGAGGATGAATAGAGAGAGGAAGGAAGTAGCAGGAGTCACTGAGCAGGAGCTGACACCAAGCTCGTGGGACGGGGAGGAGACACCGCTACAAGCTTGTTAACAGTTCCTCACATTCAACCTCCTGTCGCTATGACGATGACGGAGACAGTGCCGATGGGGTAGCTCCATTAGGACCCACTCCAGCGATGGCATTCAGCAGGTAGGGCATGTAGAGAAGCTTGCTATGAAGCAGGAGCTTGGAGCTAGCATGGAGCTCTGGGAGCTGAGAGAGGAAGTCATCAAAGCGTCCTGGTTGGTTGTTAGCTTCCATGAAGTCCTTCAGGGCCAAGATATAGGGCTCCTGGACTGACCGGATCTGTTCGCTGAACGGCTTGCCTGCTGAGGGTTGGAAGAGAGGGGGAGCGAGAGGAAGACAGAAATAGAATAAAATGGAGAGGGAGAGAGAGGAAGAGGAAGAGAGGAAGATAGAGAGAGGAAGAGGGATGGGGAAAGAGAAGGTAAAGGAAACAGTAGGTGAAGGAAAAAGAGTAGGTGAAGGAGAGAGAGAGAAGGTGAAAGAGAAGGGACAGTTGATAAGAATTTGAGAGAGAGAAGGGAAAAATAAAATTAGACCATTAGTTCAGAATAAATTTTGACAACAGCAAAAATCAACTCATTAAACTGACCCAGCTTAATCAACAACATCTTAAATAGCCACAAATACCTGCAACTTAAATGCTTCAAGGAAGAATTATCATTCTATACATAACAAAATAAAATAACATGACAGTGGCCAGGGCCATCAACATCAAACCACTAGATGTCCTTCTTTGCATGGCCTTCCTCAGGACTATAAATCAACTCAGATCTGATAGGCTGACCCTGTCTAGCCTTCCCCACTTAGAGGGGGCTATACTATAGGAGATAGCTGATGATAAATGTCATGGAGAGAGAGATAATAGCTGCAGGCCGATGGCCTACCTTGACTGATGAAGAATGGGGAGGGAGGGAAGGGAGGCAGACTGTAATTTATAAAGCATCCCTGGGAATTGGAGGAATATCGGAGCTAATAAATGCCAAAATGGGTTGCTCCCAGGAGGGAGTGTACAGACTGTGAATGAACTGCACACAGACCTAGTAGCTCTATCTGTTTGGGGTTATTATCATCTAAATTGGTTTCATAGTGAAACAAATACCCTGGCATGTATAGGCCTATAGGTGAAGGATATCCCTAGTAGTCCATAAACAGAGTGTGATACTGAAAGTTTCATCAAAAGTAAATTGTCTGTGTATCATGACTACAACTACTGTATGTCACATGGTTGTTAGGAGTAGTACCCCCCCCCCCTTACTCTGAAAAAAGTAGTCTACCTATACCAGACTCTCCTAGGCCCACTTTCATTAAAAGGAAAAATCCATTTGCTTGGAAGCATAGCCCAGCTAACCTCTATTCTGCCTGAGTGTAACCTATATGAAAATGTCTGTCTAAATTGATATAGTAACAGTAAACTAGACATTCAATATACCCAACATTTGAGTTATAAACATTGTATCCCCTAGCGTTATTATCAAGAATAACAAAGAGTGACATATTATTGATCATTGTCTGCTCTGTCTACGAGATATACTCATCTGAGCTTGACAAATCAAATCAATATTCTCCCACTTTCAGTTCTGTTGAATACAGCCCCGGCCTACTTCACTAAATGTTTGCTCTTCTTGCTACCTAAATGATCTCTTTACTGATTTGGTTTAATAGCCCATTTCATGGATATCTGACACTATACTAAGACCTTTAATGTGAAAGGAAGTGCTCATTGTTTACACCTCGAGTGTGAAGGAAAACATAACCCTGTATTTCCAGTTAAGTTAGAAATACAGTTAATATGAATTTCCAATCTCTCATAACCGTGACTGCAATGAGGAAATGCTATTGAATGTGTAAACAATATGTATGTATCCATGATTGTGACAATGTAATTTGAGCACGACTGAGGTGAATTAATTGAACAGAGTGTCATTTATAGTCACCCAATGCACCAGGAAGCGCTAAGGTATGATCTAAGTGGCAGACGACCTGAATCCTAACCAACTTTGCATAGCTAGTGCATACTTGCAAATACACAACGCTGATTGCACATTTATGGGTACTGCTCATGATGGCAAGGTACATGTAAATTTCTAACTTGATTCGACCGCAATGAATGTCAATTTTGAAGAGATGATAGGTTCTACAAAAATAAAAGAATATTTTAAGCGAATAAAGACATACTGAAACTTTGTGTCTCTTACTTCTCAGAGTAATTAGCCAGAATAGAATAGAAAGTGGATATCTGACAATACTAAAATGATTTCAGCTTTCTGTTGTTATACCAAGAAGTTACTCTTTCGGTTTACTCTGATGAGTACAAGACGAAAAGCTTTAGTAATTTGCATCTTTATTGACTGCTATTCTTTAATCTTGATTCTGTTGCAGAACAAATGGCTTCATCACGTAGGGAAGGCAGGACACAGCCTTGAAGGAAATAAGGCCACGTGCTTCATAGTCAAAGTTTGTTTGCAAGATGAAGCACAAACAGGCATGGTTCTCATGTCAAGATAGGTCTCATTAAACCATATTTAACCATATCTGTACCATAAGTACACAATTAATCAAAGATAATACCATACACAGGTTTCACTTTACACTTAACTTGAATGGTTAACAATAACTTTAGTGTTGAACAGGTTTATTGTACGGTATTCATTTTGTATGTCCAGCTGTGGAATAGTTGCAAGTGATACCATTATATCCTATTTACAATACTGTGGTCTGAATAGCTATAAATATTGGTAATAAAACTCTCATCAATTTCACTGAACCATAAACCAATTCATTTATAGGTGTGTATCTATAACACCCATCTTTATCGAACGACCATTAATTTCCCATTCAAGCATATGCATCTCTTACTCTTCATTAACTTGTATCTTGCATATCCAGTGAAGCTATTAATTCATTAACTCTTAAAATGTTTTGTAATAGCATTTATCTAATCATGACATAAAAATGTTAATAATCCAATGAACAGTGTACCTTTATCTTTATCGAATATCAATCACTAAACATGTTACTCTCCATTTGCATACCACTCTCACATGTATCTTAAGCTGAATTCAGTGTATGTTTTTATCACATATAATATTCATTTGTGTATGTGTGTATACCTATGAACACACCACTCAATCAATCTGTCTACATGTATGTATCCATCCATCCATCTATCCTCTTCTAATATCAATCTATCTATCTATCTACATGGCTATTGCAGAAATGTCCTTTGGTATATTTTTCACCAACAAAACAAATAAGCATACTGGATATCCATCTATTCATTTGCTCATCTATCTGTTTATCCAATGATTGAATAATCCATCCATCTCTCTATCTACTCTACCATCTATCTATCCATCTATATATCACTCTATCTATCTACATGGTAACATGGCTATACCAAGATTGTCCTTTATGTTTTTTTCACAATAAACATACTGACTATCAAGGTTCTTTGATGGCCCGTTCCCAGGCCTTCCCATAATAATTCCACCTAGGTCAAGAACCTTCCCAGGAAGCCATTGACTGCGTTTATGAGGAAACCCATTGACCTTCACAAGATGGCCTCATCTTACAAGGGAAAGCGCTAGCTGCACCACTGTTTATCTTGGCACTGTAAAGCCGGATATGGCAGGTCTAAATGTGGGAACAATGTAAATTACCTGTAATCTGAAGCGCTAGGAATAGACATGAACAGAGTGACCTGAATGGGATGTGCCTTTAAGTGGAAGCCAATTGAAACAAATTCCAACTGTCCCATTGTTCAGGTTGAAAAGAGTTATTCGCCATATGTAGAAAAAGACAATTTCTTTCTAGGTAAAATATGACCAGCTACAAGAAGAACCATGGGTGGAAATCCTGGTCTTAGTTATTTTATATCCTAGTGTATTCTGCTGCATTCTATTCATTACAACCAAACAATTTAATTTTTTTAATAAGAATTCTATCATAGAGCAAACGAAAATCATATCAACTTCAAAGATCTCTTTTCATATAACTAAGGAAATATCTTTTAAAAGACAGCAAATATCTTTTTAAAGACATAAAATTTACAAAAGCAAAGAATTGGTTAACCAATTTAGTATAGAAGTTTTTGAACTTCTGAACTCGTTATGCAGTTGTGAGTCAGTCAAAGGAGGTGCACACCATCTTATTCTTTGTTAGTTTGATATTTTGTTTGATCTCATGTTTGACCGTATCTTTGTTTGACCTTATGTTTGTTCTCATTTTTATTTTGTTATTATATATATGCTTGATTTATTGAATAAAGAACATATTTATATTTTTTGTGTTTATTACAAGTTTTAGTTGGTAATTTTAAGTCAAGACAATGGTGCGCTTAGAAACACCTGTATTAAGCGCCTAATAAATGTTATATATTATTATTATTATTAACTGTATATTATAGGAAAGTAAAAAGAACCATCCTGATGTATGGTCACTTCACTCACTTTGATCCAGAAATAGGATGACCTTGAGGAGAAGGTACTCGTTCCTGGTGACCCCCAGTGTTCTGAAGGAAGCCGCAAGCTTGGTGACCTTCTCGACGACCTCGCCCATCTCGTCCCTGAAGACGTCCATATCAAGCCTCAGGTCTAGGGTTTTGTTCATGCATTCCTGCAGGAGGAGTAGGTTCTTGTGTGTGCACTGCTCGAAGCTCAGACCAACGTCCATCCCACCACTGGACTTCCCGCTCATGCCACTGGACACGCTGCTGTTGACCAGTGGTTGCTTGAAGTGCATTGCCCTGCTGATGGTGCAGAGGAGCATGAGGTCAAGCCACTTGGTCTTGAGGAGGTGGGTGTGCTCTACGGCCGAGAGCTGGGTGAAGAAGGGTAGGTGCTTGACCCACTGGACAAGGTGGAACACCAGCTCTTCGCCAAGGCGACACTGGAGACGACGGAAGTCATCCAGCTCCATGGTGGCAGGCAGGTCAGAGTATCTGTGCTCTTTCAGGTTCACACCTTCCTTTTCTGCCACCTATTAGTGGAAGCAATAGAAAAGTTATATTGAATATGGAGCCATCCAAAAAAAGGAAATATAAATTCAATTCAATTCAATTTATTGATCCAAAAGGACATTTGTTGCGTTTACATGCATTATTCACAGTGAAAAATAAATAAAATGTACATGTGACATAAGACATCATACTTGTATATCATTAATCATATCCATTAGAACACACAGACAGAAGACTCTGAATTCTTGAACTGATGGTTTACATGACAGAGTTACTGAAGGGTAAATACTTAATGATATGAAGACAAAATAATGCAATATAATTGAGATATGTCTCATGATATGCTCTTTTGTAATTGAAGTGTTAATGATATTCCACCAATTCATTTTCTTAAAAAATTATCTCGATATAAATGAGCTCAGCACAGAAATTTACAACTATGTTCTTCCCTTTTCATAAACATAAAGAAGCAAGCTTCAACACAATTCCTGAGAAGGTTTAAATATCCCTATCTTTGTCTACCTTTGAGACTTCTATTCAACAAGAATACCCCAGATTATAAGGGTTCAAATGGCATGTGTGCTAAATACACATAGAAACAGTATTTACTCTCAGTTATGATTATATTTAGAATGTAAACATACACCATGTGACCTACATAATTTCAAGGGCACTGAGCCAAGGGCAAGGCTATTTTGTTTCAAGAAGCCTGTTCACACTGGGTGAAATTTATTCAAAACTTGTATACCGGTAAAAAAATGTTGTATAACTATAACGAGTCACAACATAGCGAAAGGGGCATACACACTAGAATAACTACATTGTATACAAAAACGATATACAGTCAAACCTGTCTATAGCGACCACCCAAGGGAAACACAAAAAGTGGCCTTTGTAGACATGTGGTCTTTGTAGTCAGGTTCCTCTTGTACATGATTCAATGAGAAACCATTTTCAAGGGAAACAACAAATGTGGCCTTTGTACACAGGTGGTCGCTAAAGCAGGTTTGACTGTATATAGAAACTAGTATTGAAGAGGTAAAGCGGACTCGACAGCTGGTCAATCGTCAGTGCACAATTATGATAAGCCTTGCCCAGTTGAAACATTTTTGTACGATATATGACACTCAGACTAGGCAGATCAAGAACCCAATTCTTTACCTAGTTTTTGTTGGAGGCAATGCAGTGATTTTTGTTCAGTGAAAAAAATACACAGGGGCTCGGGGCGAATTAGCCCCCGAAATGCTAAAAAGAGCCCCCGAAAGTCAAGAAAGAGCCCGACAAAATTTGCATAGAGTTCAATACGAAACAAATCGAAGAGTGTTATTTTCATGCAAGCAAGCTTCAAAAGTAGCCCCCAAAATTTTGAAAGTAATTTTTTCCCTGAAAAAGTTTCATTTTATGATGTTCCTTTATAAGTTCAGAAAAAGAAAAAAGGTATTCTATAGCTACATGTATATGATTCTCATTTGGCAATACAATGAATGGTATAGTCTGAACAGGGGGTTACATAGGCACTACATACAACACTTCAGATTACCAAGTACTGATCAAACTCCACAAATTTGATAGCTGTGATATCTGATGCCAGAACCGATAACATTATGTACGAAGTTTAAAAAAACCCGAAGATAAATCAGATTACTAGGTTAGGTTCATGATTATCAAAATATTCTAGATAGGCCTAAGTGCAGGCTCTTTAACAATCCCAGTCGTGCATTTTAACTTAGGTAATCACATTTCCATATCATACAATTTGGATTAGTTAATTTTACACAAAGGAAGCATCTGATATAACACTGCCAACCTTTTAACAACAAAAAATTCCTGTAGTTTTCCAAAGACTCTTCCTAAAGGCTACTAAGTTATAAATTTATACTTGTATGTTACTGAATTAAGCTCTATAAAATAATATTCTCCAGATGAATGGATTTTTCTCACAAATAATTCACACAAATCTGAAAGATTCCAAGCTAGTTTACAATAGGTTCCTCCAAGATCAATCAATTTAAGAGATGCATATCTTAATATTACATCTTAGGTTCATCCTTTGTTTTCATTCTGGATTTTTTTTTCTTTCTTAGGGCAATGTCAGACAAGGTATTTAAAGGTATGAGGATAAAAAGTTTCATAGATCATTTGCATTAGCCTTACCTTGAGAACTGCAGACTCTGTCTGCTGGAGGACCTCTATCAGCTGAGCAGTCTGAGGTTTGAGTGTCCGTACCTCTCCCCCATGGTGCTTCCCAGACATACCTCCGGAGCTTCCCCCTCCTCCAGCGCTTCCCCCTGATCCTTTCAGACCCTTGGACTCTCTCTCCGCCTTCATGGCCTCCCTGGCTGCCTTGAGCGCCTGTTTTTCGGCCCTCGTCTTTCGGTTGAGCTGGGCCTTCTGTTGCGCCATTTGTTGGAACTTCTTCCGTAACTTGTCATAGTTCTTTGGTTTGCACTGCTTCAGAATGAGCAAGCAGAGAGGATAGAAATTCTAATCATTTTCATATTAATAAAAGGATTATTCATGTATCAGTAAATAAAAGGATTATTCATGTACCATATTCTTAAGAGAGTCAACAATTTTCCTTTGAGCAAACACATCTATCACAGAAAAGAGACAGCGTTCAAAGACTACCAAATGAAAAACACAAAATTAGTTCGTACTTTTAACCCCTAATGGTCTCATTAGACAGCTTGAGAGTGTCGACATTTGATAATGGACTATAAAAAAAAAATCAGGCTTTCCTTTTCTATATTGCTCACTTATAGAGCATGCATGGCTTAATTTGATAGCACATATTATGAAAATAAGTAAACAGAACTTGTACAGGAGAAATATCTCTATGGCTGCATATTAAGAGGTGACTAGTCGAGAAACTGACTTGACTTACCTTATACGACAGTCCTGTGTTTCTCCCTCCAGGCATGCGATCCTCTCGTACCGCTGAATTTAAAAGAGAAAAAAAGAATAGATTTTGGAAGAAGAAAAGGGGAAAATTGATATTAATGGTTTATATAAAATCAATCATGTCAATCATTTGTCATCATCCCTTTTGAAAGGAATACATTTTATTAGATTTATTATTGTATCTTATCCAAATCTAAGCGGAACAAAAAAATGCACAGTACATGCACACTGTAGCGCCAACAGAAGACAAGACATAACAAATATGTGTGAAAAACAAGCGGACTATAAAATGTTACTAGAGATAAGAACTACAAATCTGTTTAATAATGCTCTTCTATGAGAAACTTTGGGAGCAATTTGTTTTTTTTTCATAAATTAAAAGATCAATAAGCTACAAATTTTTTCAAATCCCATATCACTGAAATTGTAGTGAAGAGAAAAAAAATAGAAAAGACATGGGGATGCAGAGACAAAGAAGAAAATACAAGAGAGAGAGAGAGAGAGAGAGAGAGAGAGGGGGAAAGATAGATAAAGTGAGGGAAAGAAAGAGAGAGGGAAAGATAGATAGAGAGAGGGAAAGAGAGAGAAAGAGAGAGAGAAAGAGAAAGAGAGAGAGAGAGAGAGATAGAGATAGAGATAGAGATAAGACATAAATAAGGAATATACGGATGTGAAGGTCACATACACTACTCATGGCAACAGTCTTCATTAACTTCAACAAATTAAAAAATGAAAATAGCTTCAGGAGCATTTGCAAGATTTTCTTTCCGTCACATAATCAGATTGTCTGAAAGAACATTGTTTTTCAGGAGGGAATATGGTCATCTAAGAAAAGAAATTGAAACAGCCTATGAGGTAGTAAAGATGGACAAAAGATCCAACTGACGTCAATGGTGCCCTTCCTCCACTGACCGCAATGATAAATCCCCATCCAAAGCCAAAGTGTGAACTGCCCACAGTACAAAGTGACCTTCGGCAGCTAACAGTGATTATGTAATAGCCAGACAGACTGTTCCATTGGCTTGGCAGGGGTGGATTAAGTCAATGCCACGAGGGTTAATTTTTCTGATATGTCAAGATAAATTGGATTGCCCTTCTCTGCTATGGCTTTTGTTATTTGTTATTATTATTTCAGTATTTCTTTACTTCCACTGGTTAACTCACAATTAAAATCGGTGATGAAAGAAAATAAACCCAGCAATAGATAAGTGAAAATAATGGACATTCTAAATATGATCTTTGGTAAACAAAAATGATAAAATAACATTCATGTATATAGTTAAACCTGTCTATAGCGACCGCCCAAGGAAAACATTAAAAATGATCTTTGTAGACAGGTTCCTTTAGTACATGTTTCAATGAGAAACCATTTTCAAGGGAAACAAAAAATGTGGCCTTTGTAGACAGGTAGTCACTAAAGCAGGTTTGACTGTACTCTATCTCACCATGGGCTATTGTAGCCATTTCTCAGATATTTCACATGAACTGCAGTCTTGATACATGACTACCTGGCAAGCTACTCAAAGTGCAGAGATTGAGATGAATTAGGCAGTAACTGGGGTATGTTCTCACGCTAACTAGCATATTTTATCAGACTGTCTACAATCTGGGAACATGCAATGAGCAGTCTTCTCTACACTGGCAATCTCTTCCCGAGTTCCAATTGTTGGAATTGGTGTGTTCCCATGGCCAATTTATCCCAGCGAGTGTTGCAGAGAAAGGCCTATACTCGTGGTTAACCAATGCACTACCTTTTACGGTTCAACTTGGTAGAAATGTGAAGTGCACCATTGTGAGTGCTATAACTAAGTCCATACTTTGCGACAGACATGCTGAAAAGGGGACAAGACAAGCTGGATATCATCCATGACTTCTAAGGAAGTGTGGATGCTCCTCTAAGGGTGCATTGGCAGTCAGTGCCAAGGTCAATGCACTGCACCCTATTGAAGAGTCCCTGCCCACATTATTCAGCTCGCCTCAGGTGATTGTTTAGCGAGTCTTTGTTCGGTCTGTTCACGAACACACCTGATTTACGATAAGTTGACCAGGGAAACAAAGATCTTCTGAACAACCGACCCCTAACACACCCTGCAGACATCCGACCAATCAACCTTCACCAAGCTAAAAACCCATAATGCGATGTCTTGACTCTGATACAGACCTAGAGCCACTGGAGCTAAAAGTGTCCTCTGTTCCGTGCAATGTCACGGGAACATCAAAGGGCGGAATTTCCAGCACAGTGGCAGAACTAATTTGCCTTTTGATCTTTGCATTAATTCAAATTGGGGGGTTAGGAGATTTTTCCTTTTAACATGAGGTAGAAAAACAAATGCTCTTGATTTGAATTGCTGGACCTAGGGCATGCATGCTTTGAGGGGGGGGGGGGGGGATACATACATAAATGCTTTCCATGGTCAATGAAACGAGCTAAAGCACTTTCACACTTTGTACTCCTGTAGCATTCATTGAAGAAAATAGCTAGACTTAGAATCAGCAATCAAACACTGATAAAGAATGTATTAAAAAAGTCAAAACTCCTTTTATTGATAATCAAAAAGAGTTGAATAATTAAATCAGTCATCTATGCAAATTTTACATATTATCAACACTTACCATCCTCTCAAAACCTTTGCATCAAGCCTCTAATTCTAGGCTATGCACAAAATATGATTGAGTTATGATATTGTCATCATACATGGACATTTAGTCTAAATTTGTATATTGACCTGGTCAAATCTCACATTCCTTACCAGTGTGATTGTATAGATAGGCTTAACTTTTACTGAGGATGTAACTAGAAGTGTTTCCAAAACTGAAATGATAAAATACTTCTAGCAAACACCCTCAATGAAAAGTAGTCCCCTCCATGACCAACATGTTTTATATGCCTGATGTACACTGTGGAACAATTACAAATATATCATTAATTGTCATTGTTTAACTATGTACAATGCAATCCCATGTACTTTATTTATTTTGTTGGAAACGGAAATAAACAAAATAAAAAAATTAATTAAAAAAAGTAACTCAAGTGGAATAGTTCTAGCATCATATTGATTAATCCTCTACCATCTTACAGCGGCACTTTACAAAGAAGACATAGTTACAGACTCAATCCTCTGCAAAGAAACATCACAAGACTGAAAACCTAACCAAGGTTGTCTATTCATCAGGATGCATACCTGGCTAAGATAAAGGACAATAGAGAAATGGACAATTGATTCCCAAAGGTTATTATGCTCCTCCCAAGACAAGGTCACAGAATTGGGACCTGGAAATCATTCCTGTTCCTTGAATGGGCCTAGGACTATCTATTTTAAGACTCAAGTGTTCCATAATTGGTTGAACACTAGCTTAAATAATTTTTATACAAATCTGAGCTGTAATAGAATTTTCCTTGCCACATAAAAAGTCCAAAATGTGGGCATCAATCAGGATTCTTAAACTGATGTACTGTTCGTTTGTTATTAGGGTTGGGTTTTGTTTTTTTTGGTGGGGGGGGGGGGGGGGGTCGGGTCCACTTCATGTCCCTAGCTATTGAGTATATTCATGTGTGGATTGAAGAAGCAAAAGATGAAGAAATCTATAGAGGTTCAAAATACAAAAGAGAACATCAAGTAAAAGTGGAAACCTTTACAAAACAAAGAAGAAAAGACAAAAAAACACCATAAGGCCTACATGTAGACCTACATGTAAGCTATAAACTCATAGGTAGATACCGGTACTCCAAATTATTCAACAAATGACCACACCCAATCCCCTTGAATTTAGGGATATTAATTTAGTTTAAACTTTTTTTCTTAGTCTACCTGCAAGGGCTGCACTTGGTTCTGCCTTTAATTTCATAGGGATGATTAAAAAGGTTCATTAGCGCCAATAAGTCATGCATTACCAGCCTGACCAAATAGACCTTCAGGCAGTATGTACAGCCATCTTGCTTCAATCAAATCAACTATAGTTTAGTCCATGGTCAATTTTCTTTTCTTTTATGACAAACAGACACTGACAAGTCTTCATATAGACATGGATTCTGACTCTTTTCATTAAGTTGTTAGGTTCTGCACCCGAGTCCCTGGCAGTGGCACACACACACACACCTAAAGCAGTAGTTTGGAGTCTACCTGTATCAAGGTGACATTATGTTCAAGCAGGGTCCATAACCCAACTTAAATTATGGAATTGGGATTTTTGGGTTCGAGTTTCCATATAAATTCTTTGCCTGCAGACTCTAACCATTCTCCCTGCTCTGACTGATCAATTCTGCTGACCACAAGGGGGGCTGGCATTCAGACTAGTAATTCTGCTGACCACAAAGGGGGCTGGCATTCAGACTAGTCATGGACGGCTGACCTCTAAAGGAGGGGCAATGAACCAAGGGCCAGTGTCCAAGGTTGCCACCTCATCATCAGACAAGTTATTTGTCTTTTTAAGTTTTGGGCTGGCCTGGCCTGTCCAGTGGGGCACAGACACCTTGAAGAAAGGATACTTCCATTCTTCTCCATTCCATGAATTTAGAGGAAAGGCTGGACATTTATCACCATCCTTTTATTTCCATTGTCCAGTGGCATAACTTGAGCATAGTTGGACATTGTGCTGGTTGTTTTTCAAAGAGTCAAGCATCTCCCCTTTCACCAGTAGAAAGGACCACCATTACATTTTACATCAATCTTCATAACCTGTGTCCACTTCCAAGGCTAAAATGTGTGGGTCCTGGTAGTCTCCAATTACAGACCCAGGAAGTCGCATGCAGAGTCAAAGAAGCAAACAAGTTCCGGAGTTTTCATATAATTATTTCCCCTCCATATTTCTAGTGTCATATACTACTTGTATTATACTATGTATACTAATATGTAAGCATTATTCAACATAGAATAAGAGAAAAGAAATACGATTTTGTATATACTATAGTGACTATGAAGCAAGAATCAGAATTGAAACACTAGTTCAAGTCACAAGGTTCACTTTTGTATAATGGTCAGAAATCTACAGAATATATTTTCTTAATTTCTACAATGCATAATATGCACTCCACTCAC